CCCCCCCCCCCCCCCCCCCCCCCCCCCCCCCCCCCCCCCCCCCCCCCCCCCCCCCCCCCCCCCGCTCGTCAGTACTACCATCTAGCTACCCAGCGTAGTGAAGACCCTTTCACCCGGGTTATCCCTCAACAAGCATGAGCAAAACTTAATAACGGCAACTACTGAGCTGTGTCCTATCAAGACTTATCTGATCCAATAGCCGCTTTCCCTTCAGCATTTAAATTTCCAGCCGTAGTTTTAGTGCCTCGACATTATTTTTTTATCTGCTTCTTATCAGTGAACCAAAACAGGACTCTTCTAAGCCAGGGCCAACTATATCTGAGGGCCCAGCCACAGCAGCAGGCTGGCGTCATGTGTGGGCTCCAAGTCCATTCATAAGATGATAGACCGGAGGAGCACACGGGTGGCAGTATGACGCATACCTCTACTGGTGTGGGGTGTTTTCAGACAGCTAGATTATCGTGATCGAATGCACAGATTCCTCTCTTGATAATGGCACTACTAGGAAGTGAGGTAAGATGGATGGGGCCTGTTTAGAAGTGGGGGTCACTGGGAGCATGTCCATGGGGGCTACATGTTGCTTTGGACTCTTCTATATTCCCTTTCTCGGCTTCATTTGCCAGAAGGCAAAGAGCGTCTTCTTCAGTATGACCCTGCCGCCGTGATGCTCTGCCTCAAAGCACCGAGCCAAGATCTCTCGTCTCCTGAGTTACTTTTCAGAGGTCTTTGGTCACAGCGATACTAAAGTAACTAAGTGATGCCACCTTTGGAGAGAATGCTGTCAGGTAAGAGACTGTAAAAGGCACTCTTGAGTGACAGCTTCTGAGAGTCCAGCTGAATCCTAAAGCAACACAAACATCATTATGGCTATTTATTTGGATGTCCTCACACCGGCCTGGAGGTCATGCAGGTTGGCCCAGAAGTACACGTCTAAGGACTTTGGGTGACATTCTTGCATCCTATGAATCAGATAGGGCAGAGTGTTTTCCAGACCAACAAGACTATCAAATGGCTAAGAGGCCAGGGAAAGGGAACAGGGAGCAGGGTCCAGTGGCCACTTTGAATGCTTTTCCCCATTGAGGCTACTAGGGCAACAGGACCTTGCAGTCGCCACCCAGACGCAGAGGAAGCAAGATGAGAATGCCTCACTGAGAAAAGGTACCAAGCCACGTGGCTAAACATAGATAAGGATTAAGGGTTAATTTAAGTTGTAAGAGGTAGTTAGTAATAAGCCTGAGCTAATAGGCCAAACCATTTATAATTAATATAAGCCTCTGTGTGTTTCTTTGGGACTGAAGGCTACAGGACTGGCTGGGACAGAAATTCTCGTCAACAGGACCTAGTAATTTCAATAACACAATACCAAAATCTTTTCTGGCTGACAAGCTGGGTCCTTCAGTTTCATTAACTGGAAACTTTAATCCCAAAGTCACTTCCTGCACACTTGCCTGCCGCCTACTCGTAAAGTGTATTTGTTTCTTCGACTCTAAATAGGCAAATTCCCCCTATCTGCCGGGAAGGACACATCTGATTCTTCTTCGTAGCTTCCAACTTGATTCCCTCCTCTCCAGGGCTGTACTCATGTGGGGTACTCTGGGCACCCTTGCTCACCAGGAGAGCCGTACTCATGGCGGGGAAGGCGGCAGATCTTGGGCATCACCTCCATCAGGGTCTTCACGTACTGCAGGATCGTGCCTTGCAGCTACAAGACACAAAGGGCTATGTTAGCCATCAGCATCCATTCTCACGGACGGCAGGGGTGACTCGCGCCTCAGTCTTGTGAGAAGCAGACAGTACAGTGGCACAGCCTTATATCCAGAAGAACCATCCTCTTTAGATAGGAAAAATGCTTGGAGCTAAGTCGAAGCATTTGTCTGTCAGAGACTGAGCCTAGACGGCAAGACGCCCCTGTTGGCTTTGTCTAACCCATGAAATCCATGCTACAGGAAAAGCACATCTGCAGAGAAACTCACCAGGCTCTTGACAACCTTCAGCAGCTCTTCCATGACCACCGCGATGCCCTGGTAGCCGAGCAGCCGGCAGATGACCTGGAAATGAGGAGGCCCCACAAAGTTCCGGTAGCTGCCGTAAATGCTGGAGTAGGCCAGGTTCAGAGCCTGGGGAAAAGACAACAAAGCTTTCAACATGGTCCCCGCGCACTCATTCGGATGATTCCCAGGATCCAATGGCAGACAGTAGGAACTGACTTTCACGAGCTGTCTTCCGATCTCCGTGCACATGCCCCCTTGCTCCCCAAGATAAGCAACAACCCCAAATTCTAAACAAATATAACTTCTCAATGTAATTTTCTTCATGCATGTTAACTGGCACTCTCCAATGTCTGAGGACCAGGAAGAAGCCATACCAATATTTTGTCCTATCTAAAACAACCCCATGAGTCTTTCTTGTTATCGTCTGTGGTGGTCTGAGTGAGAACGGCCCCCAGAGGCTCAGGCTCATATCTGGATGTGTAGTCATGAGGGAGTGGCACTATTTGGGAAGGATTAGGAGGTGTGGCCTTGCTGGGGTTGATGTGTCACTGGGGGTGGGCTGTGAGGTTTCAAAAGCCCAGGCCGGGCCCAGGGTCTCTCTCAGCCTACAAAGCAGGGTGTAGCTCTTAGCTACTGCTCCAGCACCATGCCCACGGCTGCGTGTCCCCTGGCATGATGATCACGGACTATGCCTCTGAAACGGACTATGCCTCTGAAACGGTAAGCAAGTCCCCAATTAAATGTCCTTTAAAAGACTTGCCTGGGTCATGGTGTCTCTTCACAGCAACAAAACAATGACTAAGACAATACCCTTTAAGTAATAGTTTTACTTTATTGTATTTGTTTAATGTTGATGCTTTTTATTGTTTACTATTCATATTATCAGTCAATTGTGTTTATACACATATACACACACACTATATATATATACATACATACATACATACATGCATACACACACACATATATACACATACACACACACAATATTTTCTCCCTTGGTTTCATTTTATAGTCAAGTGTCCCCTTTTTTAACCTCCTTCTACATTAATAACATTTTGGCTTTATATTACTAGTTTTAAAGAAGCATTCTTATGGTTTCATCGTTATTTAATGTATTTCTTTTTATTTCATGTGCATTTGTGTTTTCCTGCTATGTCCAGCAAAGCTGTCTTTTAAAACCGAGAAGAAAATCATCTTGTAAGGCGGTCCACTGCCAAGCCAGCACTGCTGGAGGTACTTAGAGGAACACTAAACACAGAGGGCAGAAAGAGACCAGTTCATCACAAAAGCACAGGAAAGAACAGATTTCACAAGCAAAACAGATGAACGACCTAGAGCTAGAAAGGAATCGGTCGCATCCAACAGCGAAGCACAAGCCTCTAACACATACAGGGAAGAAAAGAACTAACAACAATCCAGCCAACAGCAAAACTTGCCAACAAAATCACAGCAAGCAAGAAACACCTTCCAGTTATCTTAAATGTAAAGGGTTTCAACTTACCAAAGAAAAAACATAGACTGGTTAAATGGAGTAAGAAAGCTACATGCAACTCGCATTTGCCTTAAGAAGCACCTCTCACTCATGAGTCAAGACAGTCAAAAAGACAGAAAACAATCCTTCATATGTAAACCTAAAACAAGCTGGTGCAGTTGTTCTATTAATGTGAACTTTAAAGCAAAATTCTTCAGAGGAGATAACAGAGGTCACTTACATATTAGTAAAAGGAACAATTAATAAGGCAGACACAAAGTTGTCAAAAACCTCAGGGCTTGAGAAACAGCTCAGGGGTTAAGAGTGACCATGGCTCTTGCAGAGGACCCAAGTTTGGTTCTCAGCACCTACAAGGCTCACATCCATCTGTAACTTAGGGGATCTGATGTTCTCTTCTGGCCTAAACAGGCATCAGGGACCCACACGGTGGATACAGATAAACACAGACAGAACACTCATGAACGTAAACCAAAGGGAATCCGTTCACTAAAGTCAGAAAGATCTAATATAACTACACAACCCAAGGGACAAATGACAAATTCAATCCCCCAAATCAGCAGAAGGCAAGAAAACAGAGGATAAAGAAAAACCAACCAAACAGTTGGTTCTTTGAAAAAGCAAGCAAACAAAGATTCATTAAACCCTAGCCAAACTACCTAAAGAAAAAGAATTCACAACTTAGTAAGATTAGAGCTAAGAAGGGAGGTTACAATAGGTCCCAGTGAAGCCCAGAGGATTTCGAGTGAATTATTGGAAAACAAATTTAAAATCACAATGACCATACTTTCTCGCACATGGATCCCACAGTTAGGATTACATCTCCCTCTTCCTCCCTCTGTCTGTGTGTGTCTACGTCATGAGGGGGGAAATGGACTCTTCCTACCAAACTTCACTCTAAAAAAAATGTTAAAAAAGCCATTTGGTGGAAATTAAAATTCCTGCAGAATCAGCGCTTCTTGGGATTAAACTATGTGCTCTAGGCATCACCAGGTGCTAAGAACTGCATTCTATTTACCAGTCAGGGCTATCTGAATCAGCCAATCACGTAAGAATGTGAAGCTGTGCTCTCACTGCTCGTGAGACGCAAGACCCTGCGCATTAGAAATAAAAACCCAGCCGGACTCTGGCGGGACAGGCTCGCCTTCTGGATTTGACCACGCACGAGGCACCCTTCTAAAGAAGTAAAACTTGGCCTTACCCAAATACTTCAGAATGCATGCTTATTTCCTTGGATCCCAGACCCATTTCCAACACAGCTAGAAAGGAGATCGTGAGCTGGAGGGTGAGATCTTACGGTGTGGGGCGGGGGGGGGGGGGGGGGGGGGGGGGGGGGGGGGGGGGGGGGGGGGGGGGGGGTGTCCTAGACTCTATGTGACGTGGGAACAGAGGGGGTGATCAGGCACTAGTCAGGTGGAGGGCACGAGAGAGGGCAACAAATTAGAACCAAGTGTAATGAATGACAGAGCTGTATGGAAACTCTGCCATTTGTATGCTAAGCTAAAACAATTACATTTAAAGATAAATCTTTTTCTGGCTAGGTATTCAATTTAAGTTAGCGATAATTCGTTTTTGTCTTTCTGATTTTTCTACTTCTAACAAGGAAATACAAAGAAAAAGTCCCTACTGGGAATCTAAAAGCTGTATTTCCTCCGGAAGTCTAGCTAGCCAGTTAAAATATCACTAGGTTTATTCAGAGGTCTCAAGAGTTAAAGGGAATAACTTCCTGCCTCAGCTAACTTCTTGTCAGCTTGACACAGATAGTTATACCTGGGAAGAGGAAGCTCACCTAAGAAGCGTGTTTATGGGACATTTTCAGGATTAATGATTGATGCGGGAGAGCCCAGCTCACTGAGGACAGTACCACCTCTGGGTAACTGTTCTGACTTCTCTTCATGAGGGACTACAATCATAAGCTGAAACAAACCCTTCCTTTATGATCTCAGTCAGGGGCTTCCCACGGCAATCGAAGCCTATCGTAACACAAACAGGAAATAACCTACCTTGGATCCATGCAGGTACTGGGGTTGTGCATTGGGCTGTTTGTCTCGCTGAAATTCCTGAGAAAATGGCAATACTGTCCGAACAAATCTAAACAAGAAAGATTACAAGGGAAAATAAGGAAAACAAAATTTAATAGCAATTCGTTAGCTTCCAGGGCTTCCGATTATATACCTAACATCTTTTCCCCAGTTAAACGATAACATCAAATATGATAGTCCTAGTGAATTAAAACCCCAAGAGCGAAGTATCTATAAGTCCTCTAAAATAGCACAGATAAATAATAGTAAACGCAATCTCATGAGCTAGAGCGGGAACATCAGTTGTCCTCCTTCTTAGAAACAGTCTTCATGTTCACAAAGATTCTGGCCTCCTAGCATCCTGAGTCTAACGCACTCCTTGACAACCGGTAACAGACACATCCTTGGCTTTGCTGCGTTCTAGAAACAGGGTGAGGACAGCATGAGGTGTGACATCGCAGGTACTTAGAGCACTAGTCGTGAGCTAAGAAGCCAACTAAAGGATGTTTTACACAATTCAGTCAAAGGTCTGCATCTTTATAACATATCTAGGCCATTTAAAACCAGATGAAATTCCAAGCAGAAACTTTCAAATTAAGGTTGAAACGTGGGGCTGGAGGTAAGATAGCTCAGCAGTCAAGAGCACCGGCTGCTCTTCCAGAGGTTGGCTTCAGTTCCCAGCACCCATGTGGTGGCTCACGGTTGTCTGTAATTTCGGTCCCAAGGGACCCAATGCCCTCTTCTGATCTTACATGGACAAACTAGGCACACAGGTGGCCCCAACACATACATACAGGCAAATAGACATATAAAAAAATACATACACAGATTTGCTAATTAAGTCTACGAACTTGGAGAACTCACACAATACTATATAATAAACTTAAAAGAGAGAGAACTTTTCCATAGTTTGCACACAAGCACGTGTGCCGGAGAATAGGAACCTGCAAGGCCAAGGCTTTCACAGAGTGCAGTTGACAGGGCCAGATTCTGACCCATTGTCAGACCCTAGTAACTGTGGACTGCAAAATCTTCTCAGTGAGTATTCAGAAGAAAGATATTTTTAAATTTATTTTTGCTTTTTGATATTTCAAAGCAGGGTTTCTCTGTGTAGCACTGGCTATTCTGGAACTCACTTTGTAGACAGGCTGACCTCGATCTCACAGAGATCTGTCTGCCTCTGCCTCCCGAGTGTTGGGGTTAAAGGCGTGCACCATCACCGCCTGGCAGAAAAATACTTTGTGTGTATCTTTCGAAAGGATAGTGTATCACTATGCTGATGGATGCAGGGATCAGGAGAGTCCCACATGCTCTCAGGCACTGTTGTCCCCAGTCAAGGGCACTGTTAGGATAGGCTTAAGGAACCTTGCTTGAGTAGTATGTTCCTGGGAGTGGGGTTTTGATGTTGCAAAGTCTCTCACAATCCCCCCTGTGCTCTGTCTCACGCTTCAAGATGTGAGTCCTCAGCTTGCTGTTCCAGCTGCCAGGCTCGCAGGCTGGCACACTTTCTCATTCCAATAGTGATGGGACTCGACCCTCTGCAACTAGAAGCCCCGATAAAACCTTTTTCCTTGAAGTCGCCTTGGTCATGGTGTCTTAGCACAGCAATAGAAGAGTAAGCAATGCGCCCGGCATACACGATACTCAACTTGCCCATGTCTACGGATATCAACACGCCTTCGGCTGTCTCTGTTTTTGTGCCTGTGCACACTGTGCGTATACAGGGAGCCTCTGCAGGCCCCAGAGGTCACACATTTGTCCTAGGAAGAGCATCCTATCAGGATGCTGCTCAGAAGAGGCACCCTTCCCCTAGGGTGCACGGCTGTTCACACCGTAGGGATACATCCCATGTGTAGGATTGTCCCATACCACCAACCTCCACCTGTCTGTAATGAAGCCTGGGCAGGAGAGGGCAGAGGAGAGATAAATCTTAGCTCCAGTCACTGAAGGAGGGCAAACATCAACAGGAGATGCGTCGTTTGTTACAAAAGGTTTCTTCCAGTGTCTACCTATATCCTGATTTGCCTTCCCAAAGAATAAGCGGCTGGTCAGATTTCGACCAGGCAGGCCCTAACTGAGCTTGTCTAGTATGAAGATCGGCCATAAAACATGGGACGGACCAGAGAGAGTAGAAGTGTTTACTGCCATACCCGATCCACAGGACCATGTTGGTGGGGGAAGAACACACCCCTGTAAACTGTTCTCTGACCGCCAGGAGCATGTCATGGAACACATGTACTTTAAATACACTCCACAAATAAATACATGAATGCATAAAAACAGCAAAAAATTAAAATGTTCAAAATAATGTCATGAGTGAAACATTAAATATGACACATAATACATGCATTTCTTTTTCTTTTTTCTTTTTTTTTCTTCTCAAGACAGGTTTTCTCTGTGTAACAGTCCTGGCTGTTTTGGAACTGGCTTGAGATGATTCTGGCCTTCAACTCACAGGGTTCCGCCTGCCTCTGCCTCTGCCTCTTGAGTGCTGGGATTAAAGGTGTGAGCCACCAGTGCCCAGTCTATTCTATAACTCTAGTATGCAGTATGCACACATAGTACAGTGTATTACATCTATGACCACACTGGCGTTGCTATCTCTGTGCTTGTGTTTTATGAACTAACTTTCCCCTTCATTGTAGGTCACATTTTTTTTCTGATATTGGGCATAGCTAATTCCGGAATGGATGCTCGACACTGTGGTATCTTTTTATTGGACAGCGGAGACACTTGGGAGCAACCACCTTCAGCAGTCCTAGAAGTCAAATGGGCCAATGGTGGGACTCATTATCTTGAGGGCATACCCTGTTGCTGGTGGTCTGCTGGCAAAGAGACCACACTAGTCCTAAGGAAATTCCATTCTGCTGACCAACGTGGACATTAAATACTGTTCCTATCCATGGCTCTCCCACCAAATGGGTTACTTCGTTCTCGTTAACACAACAGAAATGGAGCGGGAAGGAAGGAATTTAACTGACCCACACTCTCACAGCCCACAGCTTTTCAGACAGAAACACGACAAGCAGAATCGTCCGCCACATGCTGACGTCGGGGAGACGTGGAAGCAGGTGGTGCAGTTCCTGCAGCCCTTTCCAATGCACGTGAGATTGTGTCTACGCTCACAACTAAGCATGGAGGTGGAGCCTTGGCTGTCCTGCCTCAGGCTCCAGCCTCTCACCGGTCAATCTATTTCCAGATGCAAAGCCACAACTATCTGCCCAAGTGCTGGTCCAAGGCTGTGAACGGAAGCAACAGGGAGGGCCCAAGAGTCCAGAACACAAGGGAAGGAGGAGGGAGAGTGTTATGGGGACATCTATGGAAGTCAGTGCCAAAGATCGGCCATTGTAGATACATCTGGAGACAGGGCTGTGCAGAAAAGACTGTGAGGCTAAACATGCTTACCGGTTGGTGGAGCCATTATAGCAGTAGTTGGGCAAGAAGTCGTAGTTCAGCTCCCAGAAGACATGGAGGGTAATCCTTCCATAAGGCGCAGACACGTTGTGGTTGGCTTCCCGGAACATGGCGTCAAAGCTGTCCAGTGTGAGGTACTTGCTCATCAGCTTGTGTGTCATGCGATTGATTTCTAAGAGGCCATCCAGCTCCTACGGAAGCACAGGAACGGGAGGTGAGCACATAGACGGGCCACCCGGGGAGGAGGCATTTGCCTGCGGTCTGAGATCCCCACCTGGGACGTCTCACCTATGAAAGGTTGCACTGAGGTGGCTACCAACACGTGAGCCGAAACATGGCTGCAGTAGGTTACCAGAAATGGCTCCTCAACTTGACACCCGCCTCCCCCCAACTTCTATAGTCCCACCCACTGTGCCCTGGTCTTTTCTGCTCTGTGGTCATCTGTACATATTCACCAGAGTCCTCAAGCCACCACCGACCTTCGGCAAAGGCAATCTGGACAAATCACTACCTAACACTCCTGATTCTCAATGGACCATCTAAGCCCGAGGCCCTGTCTCTGCCCCGGGCACACAGTCCAGCTGGTACTGGCCACTTTGGGTCAGTTTTCCCAACTGATATGCTTATATATAGACATTTCTTGATTTACAGTGGACGTACACCCTGATAAAGCAATTGTAAGCAGACATATCAGTAGGTGGTGAGAGAATTTACAATACTTAACCTTTTGAATATTATCATTGCTTAGGCCAGTGTTTCTTCAATATGCCAAAGTGTTTACATTAGTACCTAACTGGACAAAACCATCTAATACAATGCTTGATAACAAAATATATTCAAACACTTTCTTTTAATCTATCCAGGAGTTTATAGATTTCAGTCCTGGTCCCCAATAGGTCTAATTTATTCAAGGTCATGATTATTCTCTTCTAAGTTCCTATGAATTAGGAATACTAAGAGCAGGTAATAATATGATACTTGACACAGTCGAAGGCCAAGTAGTTCCCATCTTTTGTTGTCTGCACAAGAACAGACCTACTATTCGCTCAACTTTATTGACAGAGAGGAAAACAAATTAGTTCTAGTACTTACGACCACTGACGTCAAATCTTCACTTTCAAACCGCCCGATTGCCAATTCTAGAGATTTATACATGGCCGCTGAGACACGCTGCGTAATCAGACGATTGAGATCAATGGATCTTCCGAGCAGCTGGAGGAAGAGAGAGGGTGAGAGAGATCACGGTAAAGAATAAACACAGCCTGGCGGGATGGGTTAGTAGGGAAAGGCACCAATGGCCACACCTGGCATCTTGTTCAATCCCTGGAATCCAAATAATAGAAAGAAGGAAAGGGCTCATGCAGATTGTCCTCTGACCTCCACACAATGCCCTTCCCAAATACAAAGAGATATTTCTTTTTAAAAAGTAAGCTCAAAGGTCTTAGAAACAAACAAACAACAACAACAACAACAAAAAAAACAAATAAACATCAGCCATAAAACACCCAAGACAAAAATACAAAAAATTGTGTGTGTGCTCTTGAGGCAAATGGCTCCCTGTGAGTTCAAGGTCAGTCTGGTCTATAGAGTAAGTTCGGGGCAGACAGGGCTGTTACACAAAGAAACACAGACACACACGTGTGCGCACACACATACACACATATATACACACAAACACACACAACACACACACATAGACACAGCACACACATACATACACACACATGCACACACAGCACACACACATACACGTACACACACGTACTACACACATGCACGCATGCACACGCGCACACACACACACACACACACAAAAGCCTATCTTTTTGTCTTTGTTTTTGTTTTCTCAAGACAGGGTTCTTCAGTGTAGCCTTGGCTGTCCTGGAGCTCACTCTGTAGACCAGGCTGGCCTCAAACTCAGAGAGATCCGCCTGCCTCTGCCTCCCGATGTGGCTCTCAGCTGTGACTTCATTGCCATGGCTACCACTGTGTTCCCCACCGTGATGGTTATCAGCTCTAACCCTCTGAAACTGTAAGCCCTAAATAAATGTTCTCTTCTCTACGTTGCCTTGGCTTCTTATCATAGCAATAGCAAAGCAATTAAGACATAATCTCAACAACAACAACAAAACACCTTAATACTTTCATCGCCGTGCTGCTTAGACAAGTCTAGCTGGCTCTAAAAAGCCGACTGCCTTCAAAACACACTTCAGTAGGGTCAATGGCTCACCTGCACATGTCTCTGCTTCAACAGCGTCTCGTAGCGGTTGGACGGCGGCAGGTGGATCGTGGCGCCCTGGTTTTTGCATTCTGATCGTAACCGTTTGTCGAGAAGCAAACTGGTGCAGGGGAGAGGATATTTGTCACACACTGGATTTATTCAACAGGACTATCGGATCAAATCAGGATTCTGCACGAGGACCGCACGTCACATGCTTACCTTCCTGCCATAACCTTGTAATACGCAAATATCTGGTCTGCCAGTTTGTAAACAAATTGGTCAAAACATAGATTCACCTGGCGAAAAAGCAAACGTTGTTAAGAGTTCAACTCCTGACACCAAGATCATATAACAACTCAAAAACAAACACTTCTGCTTTCCTTCGCTTATTTTGCGTTGTTTTCAGCAACAGTTGATTCATTACGTAGCTCATTCTAACTCTGATCCTCAAGGCTCAGGTTCCTGGATCCTGGGACTATAGGCATCACGTGCACCATAGCTAGCTCCAGACCCTTGCTTCAACACAAGTTGAGGCTCTTATTAGAAAAGAAAAAGTATTGATGATCTTGTTGTCTAACATGGCACATAGAGTGTGTTGGGGTGACCACCATGCCGGCATCAAAAGTTAGATTAGAACACCATTGAGGAAATGGTGGCATCTTTCTGTCATAGCGCCAAAGAAGCTGAAGGAAGAGGATCGGAAGTTCAAGGCTGGGGGGATATGTTCAAAGCATATGATACACTTGAGAAAATTATCCTTGTGGAACTACCTCAACATGCAGTGTACACGCCAACATTACTGCTTACAAAAGAAGGAGGAGGAAGAGGAGAAGGAAGAGGAAGAAGAAGAGGAGGAGGAGAATATTAAGAAATCAGGCAAGTGGTGGTGTACGCCTGTAAACCCTGCACAAAGAAGCAGGGGCAGACAGATCTGAGTTTTACACCAGCCTGATTTACAGAGTTCAAGGAAGAATAAAAGCCGAAGCTACATAGGGATCTCGAGACCAGTCTAAGTTATGGAAGACCCTATCTCCAAACGACAAACAACCCAACAAGAAGAAGCTTACAGGGAGAGCATAACTCTCGTCCCCTCAAATTTAAAGGAACAGGAAAAAGTCCCTGAGCCATCTGCTCTCGGGGAGGTAATGCACACCATGGCTAAGTCATTGCACTTATGAATGTATTCGACACAGGCTGTCAAAGAACCACCCGGGATCCTAGGGCCTCACTTAAACATGGGCATGGCATCATTCTTCAGAACCATGAAGAGATTGTGTGTGCTCTGAGAGGCAGGGAGGCGCAGGACCTGCACACAGCACCAGGAGCGTGAGTCTGTGTCCATGCATCCCGCACTGCCTGGGAATCAGGACATCATCCCTGAAGAAACACTAAGATGTTGTCTGGGAGGAGGTGGAGCTGCCCGGATACAGGAAGTGATCTCTTGAGGTTAAGTCCTCTTACATCTTAAGCAAAAGAGACACAGCCACTCAGTTGCATGTGTGTGCTAACCTAACAATTTCACCTGTGAGCACGCGCCCTTAAGAAATAACCCAATAAGGTCAGGATTACTCATGTAATCCCAGTACTGAGAAAGCTGAGGCAGGAAGATTGTCCTGAGTCTGTGGATAGCCTGGGCTATGGGGAGGAGTGTGTGTGTGTGTTGGAGGGAGCACACAAGCATGCACCAGTCCAGTGTGAATAAAAAAGTGTGCGTACCAGGAATTTCAGCAAAATACTATTTTATTGCCTCTAAATTTTAAAAACCTAATGAAATTTAAAAGAAAGTGGGGGGTGGATCAATTGAACGGAGCATCCCGCCAAGCGACAGATATGGATGCAGAAATCGCTTATTGCAGAGTGGAAAAGCATACCCTTCCGGTGTATAATCAGAGAAGGCGAAGTCAGAGAGGCTCATACCGAAAAGGGCATTTCACCCCTTAGCACACTCTACATTTAGAGAGACTTTAGCTTTTGAATCCTCAAGATAAAGAGTAAAATTTAAGAGGTACCTAAAAACAGCCACTAAGGCAGCGGGTCCCTTACCTCCGCCTCGATTTCGTCATAGAGAAACTGCTTGTTGAACCTGGTGAGCGCGTAGTGGGCGCTGTCGTTGTACAGATCCAGGGAGTAGAGGACGTACCTGCAGAGGATGGACACCAGTCACTCCCCAGCCAGCAACGTGTGACCCTCACAGCTGCCTAACGGGGGAAATTTAACTGCCATACAAAGAAACCGATTTCTCACTTTTCATGGCAAACGGTATTCCTGTACAAAGCTGAACCTTAAGGGGTTACTGCACATCACCGGGTCAGAGAAAGCGAGGCACCTTTTCCTCTATGAAGGATACACAAAGACTACGCAGATGAAGGGCCTCCATGACTTCACTGTCTTCATGGTGTGGTCTAACTGTCTATTGGTATCAGTATTCAGTGTTTTTCTTTCCGTCTTAATCCTGAGTTAACAGGTGCAGATACAGGCGCATGGCGCGAAGGCTACTCACTCCATCATGGACGCCTCCTTGGTCTCGAGGATGTGGTCAGTCAGAATCCAGGGCATGGACATCTCAATGGGGAACTGGATCCTCCTGCCCATGGTCAGTTCCAGGAAGAACTCTCGGAACCACAGCTGGGAAAGGTCACAGCACTGCTGCAGTGTTTCTTGAGGGGTTCAAACGACACCAGGTTATCGTCCGCGGGCAGAAAATGACTCGTAGTCCAGAGGAAACGAGAGGGGTTTTACACAGGATGTGGCTCCTCTATGCTTAGCTCCCAGCCATGCAGCATGGATGCAAGCAGGAAGGGGTCACCGGACACGTCATATGAGACACAAGACTAACATGAGCGTGGCTTCGGGACAGTGAGGACCCTACACCTTCAGGGCAGCCAGTGTCGTCCTGCCATCAGGGACCTCAGGCACCCTTCCTGGCAGGATCGGGGGACGGTGTCCTTTTGAAAAGGAGAAGTGAAAAACAGGACCCCAGGTTTCATATCCCTCATCTGAAAACCGGAAATCCCAAATGCTCCAAAATCTCAGAATTCTTAGGTACGATGTGGTGTCCTGAGCGAAACATCCCATACCGCTTCTTGTGCAGTGGGAAGAAATCCAAACGTAGACACAGAGACTATGAGAAGGTATGGCTGTGTCTAGTGAACGGGGTCACAGTCAGAGCTGGCTCAGATGCCGACCAATTAAAATGACTGTGACATCAGCATGCAACCTCGGGGACTGGCGGTAATGTGACCATGCAGCGTATGACTGTCCAAATCTTCAGACTGTGTGTGTAAGGTGCAAAAAAATAAGAAACTATTTATACTCGGATCCCATCCCCCAAATCTGTCATTACACAAGCATCTCTGGTCCCAACCATTTCAGATGAAGGATACTCAACCTGTGTGTCCCTTTCTGTAGGACAAACACCAGTGTCTAGGATGTAAGATTACATGCACATTTGGGAGAGGTTTAACCGATACAGAACTAGAAACAGATCTAAAACAATTAAGATTTGTTATGTTCTCGGAGCTCAAAGTAACAGTATTATTCTTTATTCTACTGCCTGCAGCCTTAGGCAGAGATTTCCTGCTCTAAGCAGAAGACCGTGAACAGCGTGATGAGGCCACAGGCAGACACAAAGGGTAGAAAGCACCCACCAGTGCCAGGTCAAAGTGGCGGGGTGTCACCAAAATGGTCACTTGTCTGTCTCCGAGCACTTCTGCTATCTGGGCAGTGGGGGCCAGAGGGGCCATTTCTTCTACTCGTCAATGCCTGGATCTCGATCCAGGTAAGAGATTACAGCTCCCTGTTTTTGTTTTCGTCAGCCTGATTTCGTGTTCACTCGGCAGGGCCGACCAAAGCCCTGTGGTCCTTGTCCTGCTAAGTTTAGGCCATGTCTTACAGAGGCCATGGCAGAGGCTGGGGATGGCAAGGGACCCAGGGGCTCTCCAGGATGTCTGGCCACCACCACAAAGGTGAGGACGTGGTACCATGTGGGTGCATGAAGAGATGGGCAGGAAGATGGTCAGGTAGGCAGAAGCGTCCCGGGTGGTGTTAGCAGTGTTAGAGCATGCCAGGCCGGACTCTGGTCAGCACTGTCTCTTACCACTGAAATTTATCAAGTGTGTGTAGAAGAAGGACTCTCGATGGAACTTTTCTATGTCCAATATGGTGGGCCCCTCAAGGCTACTTCTCAAGGTTTTCTTGGCACCACTTTTGTCTGCAATGAGGGACTCTAGCATGGTTCTCACCATGTAAAGCTGTGTTATCCAAGGAGGTATTTGTAGGGGAAAAAATATAAACGGTACATTAGTCACAACAAACGGGAAAATCTACAGAAGAAGACCTGCTCCACTACACCTTGGCTGAATCCCATGCCCGCAATCAGCCTGCCAGAGAGAGGCTGTCCGGAGGGCCTGGGACTCCGCAGAGCCAAGATGCCGCTTCCTGGGACGAACTCTGTGTAGAGGAGCAGCTCACCTCCGTGCCATAAGCATCAACAAGAAAAACGAAGGATGTCTTACCACCAAAGGTTAAGAGAGGTGGATAGGTGTACGACTGCCTCAGAAACGCGTTTACCACATGCAAGAGCCTTTCCATGCCCAGAGACTTGAGCTGCCTCTGCAGCTCGGCAGAGCTCAAGGACTCAGCCATAGTGCGCACCAGGAAGAGCTAGACACGGACAGACGGGGAAGGAGAAGCGGGAGAGAGCCGTTAGTCACACGATGCACAGGTCTGGTGTGGTGGTGGTGGGGGAGGGGGACACAGGGACAGGCAAATGGATGGAAGAGCAGAGGGTGGTGTATGCCTCACATGGACCCCAAGAGTGGCCGAGAGCCTTGCTCCTGACCGGCAAGCGGTTACACACAGACCCAGCCATGTCCTTGCCGGTACCTTTCTACAGGAGTGATAGAGATACGAAGCCTCTTAGAGACGTGACAGGAGGGGACAGGTTCCAAAGCAGAGAGGAGCATCTAGAACCAAGTGAGTCAGTGAGAAGCCCCTTAAGGACGGCTTACATACACCAGAAGGAAGGGCAGCAAGGGCAGCTTTAGACCATGACATACGAGAGCGACATTTCATTTTTAGGAACACTCCATTTATAGATTTAACACGGAAATTACAGTCACACGTTTAAACATCAAGAGAGAAACACAGACGTGCGGGCATATGCCTGCAGTTCTGGGAGGCCCAAACATGAGAACTGCTAAGTTGGACGCTAACCCTGAGCGATACGGTGAGTACTGGGCCAGCCGAGGCTAGACCCCTTTTCTGTAAAAATACTGAAGTGGCGTGGGTGTGGAGGAGCACCCTATAATCCCAGCACTGAGGAGGTGGAGGTAGTATGATCAGAAGCTGGAGGCCAGCCTAGGCTGTGAGACCCTGTCTCCAAAAAGCAAAAAAGGCAACACGATATAAATATGGAAATGTAGGCATATATTTCACAGACAGAAGTAGAAATGGCATCCTAGGACTTGTGCAGTTAAATGCAGAAACCAGATATCCCCAGGCATGTCTGAGTCAAGGTTTTAGATTCACTTGGGCAAGGTACAGAAGAGAAGAAAAGCCTCAGGCAGAGCAGGATTTGCCTGTGCAGACAATGGCACCACTATGTCAGTCCCGCCCCATCTGCACCGCCAACCCCCGCCCCCAGCCCCATTCTAGGACAAAGATGATGAGAACCTGTGTGCTGGAGGGTCCCACAGCACGCCGTGGCACCTTGATGTCAAAGCCACTCTTAGGGTCCTTCTCGCCCCGCAGAGCTGGGTCGTTGAAGGGTTCGTGCCCAGTCTCCCAGTCACACACAGTCTTCCTGATGGCCTGCAGAACACTAAACCGCCCATGAAGGCATCAGACGGGGATCTCTGCAATCACAGCGTCACGTCACCCAACCACCAACGCACAGAGGACGCCTCTGGCTGGCGTAACACGGTAAGAGTCTATTCATATGAAACTTAAAAACAACAACAAAAAAAGGGTTGCGTTTTTTAAAGTGACATTAGTCCCAAAAGACGTAGTTTGCACCAATAAGCCAGGAAACAAGGTTTAACTTCGTGAACATGAACCAGGCAGCCAAGTCAGGGCAGGGAGAACAGAGGCTCTCAAAAGCCCATCCAGACAGCAGCGTTCTGCCTGGCTGTGGACAATCGCTCCTGCACACCAGCAGGAACTGAACTCATCACATAACTCAGGAGAAAGGACATGTGTCTCGACTCCCTAGAAATGTAACCCCAATTGCTAATAATCTGTACTGTTAGGTAGGGTACATGGACTAGAGATATCTTATGTTGACTCTGGTCACGTCATGTGGAAAATTCTGGATAAAACTCAATGGCTGAGCAGTGCTGGAGCAACCATTTGATAACAGCACTTGGGAGGCAGAAGCAGGCAGATCTGAGTTCAGGGCCAGCCTGGTCTACACCATGAGTTTCAGGCCAGCCAGGGCTAGACAGAGAAACCCTCCCTTTAAAAGTGGCTGGTGGAACAGATCTGGCTTTTGTCAAGAGCAGGCACTGCTATATCCAATGTGTCTTCAACAAAATCGTTACCTGAAAGACTAGAACAAGGGTTTTGGATTTCACATCTGTTTGGGGTTGGGACGATTTGAATATAAGTAAATTTTCTTGGGGGTAAGATATAAGTCTAAATAGGATACTAATTTGTTTTACATATAAACTACACACATAGTCAGATGACAATTTTATAAGTTATTTTAAGTATTGTTGGATATAAAATTATCTAATTCAGGATGCGGGTTTCTATTGTGGCATCATATTGTTATTGAAAATGTTCTGGATCTTTAAGACTCAGTGGTAGAGTATGCCTAGTATGTGCAAGGACCCATGTTGAGTCCCTACCACCACACACACGTGCAGGTCTACAGCTATGTGCACATGTTCTCTCTCGCTCTGACTTTGGGGGCATCTTAGATTTTAGACTTTTATAATTAGAATGCACACACAGTATAGAATTTTCTTAATTTTAAAAACCATATTATCTCAGGCAACTCTAAAGTGAAACACTATATATTCCTGAACTCTGGTTTCATTTACACACATTTTTTTGAAAGTCAATATATATAAAATTAAAATAAAGTTGCATTAAAAACTCTCATGGTCTCTCAGATTTATCATATCTAGGTTATTTTTCACCAGACTTATAGGATAGTCTAAAAGATGTCATATTTGGGAGAGAAAGAGCAGAATGTGGGGCCTTATATCCTAGAACACTTGGCGGCTGGATGATTCTCTTGACTCTGGGTCTCTAAACCCCTGAATACTCAGCAGGTAACTGATGACTGCTGTTCAGGTCACTAATTAGATCCCACATTCTATGCAGACACAATTCATCAGAAACATGGCTAGGAGTTGAAGAGAAATATCCTGAGCCTACTTATGAAAGCAGACATGCCTTCCGTCTGAACCTATGCTCCCTCCGTGGCCTTGGGGCTGTGAGGGAGGATGAGGGAGGCTGACCTCTGGATGACGTTCTTCTTCTTCTTGATGGCCTGTCTCAGTGGCTCTCTGAGGGTCACCTGGGAAAAGTCTTGCAGGGCAGCGTAGACAGTGTGCCTGATGGCGTGATTGAACACGCTCTCCATCCTGCCCATCAGCACCTGCAGGCCTTTGATCATGGCGATCACCTGTAGGGACACAGCTTTCAGTGGCTGAAGTGGGACAGGGGACAGTCCTTCACTGCCTGGGAAGTCTCCTTCGCACTCACAGATCTGCCCTGGCTCCCGTCCTTGCCAGTGCCAGGCTGCCCTGTCCCATCACCTTCTGCCCCACAGCAGAAGACTCCGTCTGCTCTGTGCCTACCTGGAATCGACCTCACCTCATCCCACCATGAGTACCCTGAGGGCAGCAGTATCTGATTCAAGAACGCCCTGTCCATCATGTCCATCCCTGATGGATTCAAATACAGAAGTACATGCTCAAAAGGCAAATATGAACGTGACCCAGAAAGGAAAAAGAAGTTACCAGAGTTTGTATATTAAATCCTACTTGTGGAATAACAATGGGACATGAACTTAATACATGTGGAAAGGGTCTAGAATTAAAAACAAAACAAAACAAAAAAACGAAGCCAACTGTTTAAATTTCTATGTAACAGTTCCATAGATGCTACATATTTCCATGAAGTCACATGAAGGGTTGCCATGTGTTTATGCTGGAGAACTATATGATGGATTTATATAATTCATACGGGGGAGGGGGGGGACTTTTACTTTAAAAAAGTGCATAGGGCAGGGGCTGGAGAGATGCCTCAGCAGTTAAGAGCACTGGCTTCTTTTCCAGAGGACCTGGGCTCAATTCCCGGCAACCACATAGTGACAGCCAACCATCCGTAACTCCAGTTCCAAGTCTAATGTCTTCTCATCCCCAGCTCTACAGCTCCTGCAGTCTCCCTTTCCTCTCTGGCCCTGTGTCCCATGGATTACAAAGACCTTTTCTAGCCTTCCTTCCCTAACTCATCCCAGTTGCCCAGCCTTCAACCCCAGCAGGCATTCTCTGTGAACACACCAGCTGAATGGGCAAGAAAAATTGGCGACACACAATCACCACAGGCTCCAAAACGCCAGGGGAAACAGAAGCCAAGGAACAAACCACCCAGTCAACAAATCCAGAAATCAACACCTAGACCACTCAATCAACAACAGCCAGGGTAACATGTCTTCAATAGAGCCCAGCCACCCTACCACAGCAGGCATGTATATCCCAGCACACCGAAGCCCAAGAAATCGACCTTAAAACCAACAACGTGAAGGTGATAGAGGTCCTTAAAGAGGAAATGAACAGATCAATTGGAAGAATAAACGCCTTAAAGGAAGTCGAGAAAACACACACAGTGGAAGGAAACAAATAAAACTCTTCAAGACCTGAAAATGGAAATAGAAGCAATAGAGAAAACACAATGGAGGGAAATCTGGAAAGAAAAATTATAGGAAGGCAAATAGGACCGACAGAGGCAAGAGCACAGTATGGAGAGCCACTTGTTGGTTCCCGGCATAAGAGAGTACAAGACATGGAAGAGAGATTCTCAGACATTGAAGACATGATAGAGGAAAGAGATACATTGGTCAAAGAAAATGTTAACCACTTTCAACAGAAATCATAGAAGAAAACTTTCCTAACCTAAAGAAGGACAGGCTTATAAGGACAGAGAAGCATAGAACACCAAACACATTAGAGCAGATAAGAAAGCAGCCCCCATACCACATAACAACCAAAACACTAAGCATGCAGAACAAAGAAAGAATATTAATAGCTGCAAGAGAAAAAGATCAAGTAACATATAAAGGCAGACCTATCAGAATTATACCCGATTCTCAATTAAGACACTAAAAACCAGAAGGTCCTGAACAGATGTTTTGCAGACACCAAGAGACCATAGATGCCAGCCCAGATTACTATACCCAGCAAAAGCTTTTATCACCATATATGGAGAAAACAAGATATTCCATGACAAAGTCATATTTAAACAATATCTACAAATCCGACCCTACAGAAGGAAAACTCCAACCCAAGGAAGGAGGTTAACTACACACATGAAGACACACGGAATAAATAATGTCACACCAGCAAAACCAAAGAAGGGAAGCACACGCCTGAACGCCTGCGTACGCACACCACACCACCACCAACAAAACAACAAAATCTAACAATCGTTGGTCATTGATAACTCTAAACATCCATGGACTCAATTCCCTAATAAGAAGACACGCACTAATAGATGGGAAAACAGAATCCATCCTTCTGCTGCATACGAGAAACAAACCTCAAGATCAAAGACAGACATTCCATCAGAGGAAAAGGTTGGGAAAAGATATTCCAGGCAAACAGACCTAAGAAGCAAGCTAATGTAGTTCTTTTGATATCTGACAAGATAGACTTCAAACCAAAACTGATCGGAAGAGATGGGGAAGGACACCACATACTCATCAGAGGAAAGATGCACCAAGATGAGATTTCAATGCCGCAAACACAAGAGCACCCAAGTTTGTACAAGAAACCCTACTGCAGCTTAAACTACACACTGACCCTCATGTACTGAGACGGGGAGGCTTCAATGCCCCATTCTCAACAACTGGCAGGTTATCCGGACAAAAACGAAACAGAGAAATGCTGCAGCTAACAGACATTGTAAACCAAATGGATTTAGCCTACAGAATATTTCACCCAAACACAAAAGAATATATCTTCTACTCCGCCCCTCCAATAATAGAATATAATAAACTAAACCCTCCCACTGACAAACAATGTATCTTCAATAGTCAACAAGGTGCCAAAATAGTCCAATGGGAAAAGATCACCTTTCCGTTAAACACGGGGGACTGCTGGATATTCATACGCAAAAGAAAAAAAGCTGGGGTTCTTGATAGTAAGAGTTAGCTCAACAAGCTTGGGATGATTATATCCTTGCTTACTAAGGGCTGTAGCTGGAGAGACGGCTCAGTAGCCACGAGCATATGGGAAGTCCAAGCAGAGAACCGGCATTTCCAGCTCCCATGTCGAGCGCCTCACAGCTACCTGTAACTGCAGCTTCAAGGGAGGTAGAGACCTCACCAGCCTCCACAGACAACCCCCCCTACAAAGAAATCTGGCATTCACTCACACAGACATATATATATATAGAAATAAAAATGCTAACAGAGCGTCAAAAAAGGAAGGTCTACCTATTGGTCACTAATAAGGTACGTGATTGACTAAGTGAATGATTAGATAACCTAATCCAGGAATAAATATTAAGAGCATAGCATAGCATAATCAAGATGAGCTGGTGAAAGGAACTGAAGGGGAGTTTTAGTGATCATACCTAAAAAGGGGAACCGGTATCTAGAATATAAAAAGAACTCTTGCCAATTCAATAAGTCAGTTTTAAAAATAGGTAAAGGATGTACACAAAGAGCCAATCCGCACAAAACAAAGAGAAGCACAGAAATTCAGCTGACACGCCATATGTGGATTCTGTGACGGGTATAAGTAGAAAACTCCCCCTACTCAACAACAAAAACCTATGAATACTTTCTTGCAATTAATGAGCTTAGACATGTTAGTAGACAGAAAGAAAAATATTTAAAATTTACATTTTAAATAGTTATTTGGAAACATCAAAAGTATACCAGCTACAAGAGCCAATATCTAGAAATAAGACAGAAAATAATCTAGAATTTCCAGAGATATATGATAGAGAGAGAGGGTGAGTGAGTGAGTGAGTGTGTGTGTGTGTGTGTGTGTGTGTGAGAGAGAGAGAGAGAGAGAGAGAGAGAGAGAGAGAGAGAGAGAGGTACTATTAGAAGTTCATCAATTCTCCCTAAAATGACCTTGACATTTATATATATCCTGATGGGAAATTCCAATGTATTTCCCTGTGAGACATACAAGGCTCACTCTAAGATGTGTATGATGGGCTGTCTCCGTGGGCAAAAGAGCTTTCCGTGCAGACCTGCTGACCTGAGTCCAACCCCAGAACACTGCAAAAATAAGAGCCTCAACACATATGTTGTGCATTCATGCAGACATGTGCACGCGCGCGCACACACACACATACCAACCATAAAACTGAATTAAGAAATTTTATCCATTAGAAGAACCAGGAGAAAAAAAAGAACTTTAAAAAATAAGGAAGTAAGGAATGAAGAAGAGAGGGAGGGAGGGAGGAAAGGAGAGAGGGAGGGAGGGAGAGAAGAAAGGAATGAAAGAAGGAAGGAACGAAGAAGAGAAGGAAGGAAGGAAGGAAGGAAGGAAGGAAGGAAGGAAGGAAGGAAGGAAGGAAGGAAGGAAAGAGGGAGGAAGGCAGTTAGTTCAAGACTGTTGAGGACCATATTAAGTGAGATAAAGAATTAGTAGCCATTATGAGTAGAAAACAACTGGAGTCTGCTATATGCTCTTCTTGGGGTAGAGGCCAAGTCCCAATTTACCTATCACCTGTCGTTCCACTTTCAAGAAACTATTGTGCACTAGCAAGCACTCACAGGGGGGCTGGCAACACCTACCCCTCACCGCCCCATCATCGCTGGGCACCAGCATGAGCAGTGCAGGGAACAGGAAGCAGGCGTCCTCACCTCCACCAGGGCAAACTTCTCCTCGGTGGTGTAGTTATAGCGCGTGGCGCGCTCATACTCCTCAGCATTGTCCGGGCAGTCCTTGTTGGAGTACTTGTCGGTGGGGTGGACCAGCTTCCAGGAGTACTGTGGCAGTCAAAAAGAGGAACAATATTCCACACTGAAAACACTTGAGTTTGGACTGACGAGACCGTGGCTGAGGCCACCGAGAGGTGAACCTTTAAACATACACACTGCTTTCTAAAAGTGTCTTTTACACACGCACACACGTGTGCACGCACACATGCACGCGCACACTGCTTTCTAAGTGTCTCTTGCACACACACACAAATGTACGCACACACACACATTGCTTTCTAAAAGTGTCTCTTACATACATACACGCACATGCACACACATGCGTGCATACACAAACACACACTAGTACCTCCAAAAAACAGCACTCAGTCATATAAGCCAGGCTTAAGAACTAACCCAGGCAAAATGTCCAAGTTGTCGTATGCTGAGTAAGTAAAACTTCAGGCGATTTATTTGTATTTACAACAAAAGTATGCTTTTCAAATGATCATGTATGTGTCCAATTGCATAATGTTTATCTGACTAAAATAGACTTTTAAAAGGGAAAGACACATGCAAATTACAGTTATTTAAATCTTCATAGCTACCAGAAACATTTTACTAAACCTTAAAGATACTCATGGGTACAACTCCAAAGAGTCAAATGTTGGTCCAAACAGGAGACTGAGAGTTAGGGAGGTGGTGAAGGCACTGGCTATCCAGCCTGATGACCCAAATTTGGTGACTGACAATCTTGCCATTGCCAAGTCGTCCTATAAGGTGTGTGCCTTGGCACACTCTCTTCCCCTGCCTCATATAAACAAACAGGCACAGAAAGAAAAGCAATGATCCTGTTGGCCAGCTTTCCAATTTATATCTCAAAAGATGAGGCCCTTCATGTGACATGGAGGAAAAGCACCCCTAACCAACCAGGAGTGGCTACACATGTAGCTGCTCGAACTTCCAAACACACGGAGAACGCCGCCGTGCCTACCACTTCCATCACGTGCGCGCTCCACTGCGACAGAAGCTGCAGGCCCTGCAGAGCCAGGTCGAAGAGCTTCCGGTACTCAGCATCTGTCTTCTGGGCCTCCTGCCGGCCAGACCCGGTGACCACCTAGGGTACACAGGCAAAGGCATTCAGAGAAAACCCGCCAAGCTTCCTTCCTTACTGCTGTGCAACACAGCTCTCTGGGTATGACATCCCCCTGGCCCCTCTCTCAGGGGACCTACGGACATTCATGAAGGCTGTGTAAAGAGGCCACTAGAGGCCCTGCTTGCCCCTTTCAGGTGTGTGAGCAGTTAAAGGTTCGGTAGTACGTAACTATCTGCAAACCATCACGTTCCTGCAAGTCGCCCCAGTTAAACTCACTAGTTCACGAACTAGACTCCGGTAGAACAGTTTCTTTGATTTGCCATTAACGCACTAATTGGGGTGAACAGACACTTGTTTCTTTCTCCTCGAAAAGCTCACGTAGCGTCCAGAAAACCTACTCTAGGAGTCTATTTCAAAGTCACATATGCAAAAACAAAACAAAAATCCCACAAAGCGATCAGAGTCTTCTACATAGCTCAGACCGACTTGAACTCACTGCTGGTCTTTGCCTGCTTCTTCAGCGCTGTGGTCCTAGGTCTGCACCATTTTCTGTTCTTGTTCTTGTTTGGGTTTTTGTTGTGGTGGTGGTTATTTGTTTTGATCGCACAGTGCTGGAGGTGGGCTTCACGTATACTGGACAGACACTAGTGCTGAGCTCTGAGCTCAGTCCCCTGAGCAGGCATTTGTACAAAAGACACGAACAGCTGCCTGATCAATACAGGGAAGGATGTTCAACAACACTGGTCGGAGGACAGCCTAAATCCAAGCCCGTTGACACTAGCCTGAGCTCTGACCTATGTTGCCTCACAATGGTAGAGACTGGTTGTTCAGGCTGTGCCTCACCCTCATAAATCTCATTTTACAAGCAGCATTGGGCTCCACTTTTGAGCATTTGACACAGTAACAGGTTGATGCAGACATTTGGTAGGCATGGAAGGCTATAGAGCCCTCCCTTTACAAGGGACACACACATAAATCACTGATCCCTAAAAGTAAAAAAGGTGTCATCTTTATCGAAGTAAATGAAAACCATTTTAATATATAGGCAGATCAAAATCACAGAGGAAAAGCAGATGACAACCTATCTGACCACACTAGACCGAGAAAAGAGCTTAACTCCCTCACCTAGATCCGATAAGGAGGTGAATACGGACACCAAACTCCACCAGAGAAACAGTCTGCCTAGATGTCACCTGACCGCCAAGCATGTGTGTGCAGAGATGGACAGAAAGCCCAACTGTCCCAGGGGCTTCTGCTCAGCTTGGTCCCATAGAAGACACAGTCGACTCATCCACCCATCCACTTATTTGGCTGTGGGAGCCCTCATGTGACTCGGTTTCCATCTGGAGTCATTCTGACTTAAAGAAGTCATCTGAGTTCAAGCCTGCCTACTCTGCTTTTTCCAGTAACCTTGAGGCCCATGGGTAATGTCTGTGTTAACCCATAGAAAGAGCATTTTTTTGCCCAGATGAAAGAGTACATTATTCTATTAAGATGTGCGCTGGTAACCGTCCGGAGAAATGGCTCAGCTGTTAAGAGCACTGTTCGCGGCCCAATCGTGCTTCCTTCCCGAGGACCCGAGTTCGATTCCCGGCTTCTACACCGTGGCTCGCAGCCATCCGTCCTGAGCTCCTGCGCCCTCTTGTGGTGAATGGGAAAAAAGATTTTCTCTGGTGTCCACCAGCCAGAGGCAGTCCTGGTTAGTGATTAGCAGCTGCTTGCTGCTAACTGAATTCTTGCGTGCAACTGTGCACCGACTTGAGCTTCCTCTCAAGGACAGCGCAGGAGGTGGTTTACTGCTCTTTGTTCTGCCTTTTGCCTGTAATTAGTATATATGCTGGCTGAGAAAAAAACTCAGGGCTGTTTGGTATTCACCTTTAGTCCTCCCGGTCTTGCCTGTGTTTTCTCTCTCAGGTTCTTTTAATCTGCCATTTTCTATAACCTCGCGCCCCCTCCCAGGCAATCTCTGCTGATTCCTGCCAGGGTGCTTCAACATCTGGCCACCCAGAACTGCAACCTGGACCTTCCTGCCCTCTGCTGCTACATCCTCCTTGGTCCAGAACACTGCTTCTAAAGCTCAACCCAACCCCGAGGCTCACTCAGACCTGTGACCTAGCAGTGTAACTGCAGAAGTTCCTCCAGCTACCTCCCTCAGGGTTCATGCTGTGTGACTCACTTAGGTGAAATGATTCAACTACGCATATCCACACAGACAAGATGAGCGTGATATTTCTTTGGGATAATAGAACGGTAGGAAGGGACTTCATGATAGCTGCACAGCTCATCAGATATAACCATCTTCCAGTTATGGAATCTCAACCATTGATTGTACTATAAGTTGAGTTATAGCACCATAAACCTCTCCCTAACTCAACTCCAGGCCCACACTTCCCAACGGCACGTACTGAGGGACTAGGAGTTAAACGGATCACTGGGAAGCTGATAAAGGTACCCCAGAGAGATAGCAAAGGTGGCACACAGCCTGCTAACTTGCCCTCGCCTTCCTAACTCGAGATAAAGGCCTGGCAGCTGGGCCCCCTACAGGCAGACCAGGCCGACAAGTTCAAGGCTAGACCAGAACACATTTACCCAAAATTGTGAGTGTAGCAGCTTCCTTTCCTTCGATGAAACTGACCAGCCCTAAACAGGGAAAGATTCCTTCTCCCCATTCCAACACACCAAGAACCCTCAAAATCTGCACCTCTTGAAGTGAAACCAACTTCAGAGTCCTCCTCTGCTTTGTAAGGAGTCCCCCCCCCCCCGTGCCTTGTGGGAGTGTGTGTGTGTGTCCCCATCTTTTAAAAAAAAGTGTTTTCCATTGGCTGATTATGTCTGAGACATCCCCTGATGCTAACCACTGTGCTTGATTTTCCCCTGCATTTAATTCTTTAACTAGCAGAGAAAATGAGACCAATCCAGACGGGTAGAGGATTTCCCTGCACTGACCTTGAGGCCCCGGTTAGCTTCAGCCTGAGAACTGACTTCCCTTCTAAAGGCGACAAGGCCTGCAGATCAGAAACCCTCTCTGGTCTCCCTCTCCATCTGTTTCCATTGCTTCATCCTAGCCTGAGTTGTTCTTTGGGAAACCCTAACACGGTTCACTTTTCCTTCCCTCTTCTGCCCCTTCCCTTTCTCCCCTCCCTCCCTCTCCCCCTATCCGGCTTTTCACTGGAGCTGACGTGCAACGCTATACATGTGTTATGCAAGTGTCTACCAGTCCCAGCCCTTCCAGTGCTTTCCTGATAAAAAGCTTTATTCCATACAGCCTAGCCGATACAGACAAGGCTAACCCACACTGTCTCATCAAGTATGAGGGTTTTGCTTTGTTTTTGAATATTTCGGTTTAGGTTTGAGGGATCTTCCCCTATTTAGGTTTGGTCAATTTAAAGAAATGAATTTTAAAACACTGGCACTTAAAAACCAATTAACGTTAATATTTGAGTACAAAAGAATAAAAGCAAATCTTTGGGTGCCAATGTGGTTCTTGGTACAGCCTCATGGTGCAGTAGGTATGCACCCCACTGTTGTAGTGTGTGGCTCTGGTGCAGCCTACATGGTGAGGTAGGTGTGTAATCTCACTGTTCCTGTAGCGTGTAGCTCTGGGTGCAGTGGGTGTGCACCTCACTGTTGTAGCGTGTGACTCTGGGTGCAGCCTACACGGTGCAGCAGGTGTGCACCCCACTGTTGTAGCATGTGACTCTGGGTGCAGCCTCCATTTTGTGGTAGGCATGTACCTCACTGTTGTAGCATGTGACTCTGAGTGCAGCCTACACGGGTGCGGTAGGTGTGTACCTCACTGTTGCTGTAGCGTGCCAGCTCAGAGATGAAGCGCATGTGGTCCTCCCGGATCTGGATCATCTGCTCACAGATGTTGTACTGCGGGCTGCTGCTTGAGGACGTGCAGGTCCACCTGGGCACGGAGAGAAAGCCCTGCATGACCCGAGGCACCAGTGCAGTGCCTAGGACATCACCAACTGTAGTGGAGGAATACCCTGTGGGGCTAGGAGCATTCGGTGACTGAAACCGCCTGAGGCCTACAAAACCCGAAGGATGTACTACAAAGCTTTCACTAGTAGAGATCTCCTGTCCCCTGAGGAGAAATGTAATGTCTAAATCACAGCTAAGTAATACCGGTTGGGTATGGGTATGAGCGCTCAACAAATCCATGAGCCATGTGGAATTTACAATAAATAAGACTGCGTGCATATAGCAAGTTGTAATGGTAAGCTACAAACCCTTCGCAGCTGAGCTTACTCTAGGCCTAGAGACTGAGTTCTTCAGGACCCGTGGGCCATAGTGTTTCCGCCTTAGACATTACAGTCATTATCTATGGTTTGTTTGTTATTTCTATTAAAAATCATTTAAGACTAGGCTCAGCTCCAGGGACCTTGCAAAAATAGGCCTGGACTGGTTTAACCCTCAGGAGACAATTTTGTAAACTCTGCTAATGTACATGCACATCCTGCTCCTCTCCAGGATTGGCTGATATCTGCTAACATACATGCACACCCCTGCTCCTCCCCAGGGTTGACTGACATTTGCTAACGTACATGCAAATCTCTGGTCCTCCCCAGGCTTGGCTGACAGGCATGCTTCACCACACTACTGAGTGTAGAAAACTATTTTCATATATTTATATTCTCAGTCAGCACTGTGTGGTAGAAATCTTTGGAATGACAAACATATTTTTAAGGCTGCGCTGTCCAACATGCTGGCCACTGGACTCTGAACATTCAAAATGTGGCTTGCTTTAAGAGGGAAATTAAAATGTTTAGTGCTCTGATCAATGAATTTCAAAACAAAATTATATCTGGCAAAGAGCTACCATATGGGGCACCGGTTTCCACACTTGTGGGAATGTCAAGGTACTACTTTAGACATGGGAATGCACACTCTGGAGGTGCCCAGAGGGCCCTGGAAGAAGTTCTAGCAGCCTGTCGAGTCTCTCCTTACCGGGACTTATTCTCCTCATAGTGAGCACTGGTCTTGATGTATCTCGCCAGTTCTATCTGCATATCTCCAAACAGGGGAACCACCTGCAGCTGCTGCAGTCACATAACGAAAGGAAGAGAGCATCACAATGGACATCCCGTCACCAGATCAACAACAACAAGGGGAAACGGCTCACACTAACTTTTAGCTTGCATTAAACACGGCTGCAAAGCATTCAGTACAGGAACATCTCTGAAATGAATGAAATGCAGTTTAAGAAACAACACATAGAAAATATGCCAAAAGACAACCTACCTTGTTGCTCCAACCACTGCTGCATTGCTATAAATTAATAACCAACATGTAGAAGTCGAAAATTTATAGGGAATCAGGTTAGAATGACACTCATAAAGAAAACATGTGTTAAGACCTCAAAGCAAAAACCCTGTCCTTAAGATTCTAGAGAGAACTCTCAATGGATGGAAGAATATATCACGTTCATGTATTAGAAGGCCTAATAGTTTATTGTGTTTGTATGAACTGATATGACTGTTCCGTGGTATGGCTAAGGGGGAGGTATTTATTGTGGATATATAGAGAAAGAACAGCCAGAAGCTTCTGGAGGGATCCAGAGCAGATAGAGAAAGTAGACTGAATCTTTTCCAGCAAACTGGGCCTTGAGTACCCTCGTTAACAAGCTCTTGTGGATGCACCTGCAGGGCTTAGCTGGGGCTCTCTGTGCCAGGGAGGTAAACAGCGGGGATGGAGAACAGAGAAACACAGTGAGATGCAGGAGCACAGCAGAGAGAGAGAGAGAGAAACACAGAGAAAGGAAGAGCATGAACATATCAAAGATAGCAGGCTTGTAAGGCAATGAGTAGCTGAGAGAGGGAAGCCCGGGAGCTGGAGGGCGGTTAGTGGAGGGGAGAAGGTGCTAGGAGCTAGGATGCTAGCGCGGACTCTGAAATGGATAACTAGTACTGGCGACACAGAGAGACTCAGGAGACCAGAATGCTGGCACGCTGACAGGCACCACAGATCGGCCATTGTTCCTTTTGCCTTTCGGAATTTGGGGAAATGGGGTTTCCTCTGAATCTGACAGTTCTCACCAAGTTTATTCTTTGTTGTTGTTGCTAGGGATGAAAACCCAGGACCATGTGTCTATTAAGCAAGCACTCACTCACTCACTACCAAGCTACACTTTCAGCCCAGACCTGTATTTATGGAACCCAAGTCAATATCTCAGTAGGAAAATATCTTGAAAAGTGAAGGCTAGCATCTAAGATTATCCGAAGAATAAGGCTGGAGGAGAGTCTCTTCCAGATAAGCACACCTGGCAGAAGGCAGTAGCTAGTAAGTCAGTGTGGTGCTTGCTCTGAATGAAACCGGCCCCAGAGTCTCCACGGGAGTGGCGTATTGGAGGTGTGGCCTTGCTGGAATGGGTGTGGCCTTGTTGGAAAAGTGTGTCCCTGCGTGAGTAGGCTTTACAGTCTCAAGCCAGGCCTGGTGGCTCCTGTCCTTCCTGCTGCCTGCAGATCCAGATGTAGAACTCTCAGCTACCTCTCCAGCACCATGTTTGTCATGCTTCCCACCATGACGATAATGGGCTATATCTCTGAACCATAAGCCAGCCCTAATGAGATGTTTTCCTTTATAAGAGCTGCTGTGAGGGCCGGAGAGAGGGCTCAGTGGTTAAGAGCACTGGCTGCTCTTCCAGAGGACCCAGGTTCAATTCCCAACACCACAGGTCACCCCTGTCTGTAACTCCAGTTTCAGGGACCTTGATACCTTCACACAGATACACATGCAGGCAAAACACCAATGCACATAAAATACAAGTAAATAAATCATTCGAAAAGTAAAATAAAAATAAGGAGTTGCTGTGGTCATGGTGTATCTTCACAGCAATAGAAACCCTAACTAAGACAGCAGGTATGGCCTTGCGTCAAGGAAGGAAGCCAGAATAGAGGACAGAGACCCAGGACAGACACAGACCTACAGACTGATTTGTGTACGGGAGAGGCTGCAGAGGAACCGAGAAATAAATGTCTTTGTTACCAATAAGCAGGATCACCTGGATAACCATAGTAGAAAAAAAAATTCTAAGAATGTCAACCCTCACCTCCCACAGAAATAAACACAGGGCCAATTCCAGAGAAGGATTCCAGATCTAGATAAGAAATGAATCACAATGCTTCACAAAGGTAACCTAGCAGAAGATTCTTGGGATGTCTTCAGTGGGTATGAACGAAAAGACTGGCTTATTAAGAATACAAAGAAACCAAGAACTTCTGTTGACCAAAGGACACCATAAAGTAAGTGACGAGGGGAGGGGTTAAGAACATGGCTCTCATAGTCTAAAGACAGAGCCAAATGCTTATTAGCAGGGACCCTGGGTTCCGTCCCCACCAGCGAAAGAAAACAGAGCCATGACAAGGAGACAGGCAAAGTTGGAAGGATGCCTAAGGGCGTAAAGTTTCAGCTCTGGAGGAGGACCCACGGCTGACAACATTTAACAATCTTACATGGCTTGACATTCACTCTTAGAACACAGTTAAATGTTCTCTACATGAAAAGGTATGAACTTGATTTAGTCAGTCCACAATAAACATGTATTAAGATATCACGTTATAACACCATAAATACAAACATTATCTATTTGCCAATTGTATTTCAGAGCTGAGGTAAAGTTGAACCATGGAAAGGAGGGTGTGTTATTGGGGGGAGGAGGGAGGGGAATCCCTGCTGGTTTCACCGCACAGGGAACAAAGAAGCAAGAATGACAAATTGAACCGCCAGACGAGCCAGGGTTTGATGGAGGATAAACTCATAAACAAGGCTTATGGGTCCACTGCTTCGGACACGACGGATTCTACCGGGTGTGATACCATAATCTTATTCTTCCTGAGAGAGCCACGGGATTCTTCGCACAACTGTCAGCAGTGTGTTCATTTACTGGGCACAGAAGGATGACTGCCTCCTGTTCTGTGCACTTCTGGTGAATGCAAGCTACTCTCTACAGATGAGACACGAGGACAGAATTGCAGGTGTGTGGCTTGTTAAATCAAGGTCTTTTAGACAGAGGGACCTGGAGTATTTGCTGGAGTATTTGCTAGTTTCTCTAGTCGGGCCCAGCTGACCGGCAGCCACTCCCTACTGAATTCCTTAGCAATTAACACTGCACAAAGTGGCACCTGCCTTTAATCCCAGCACTCGGAAGGCAGAGACAGGCGGATCTCTGTGAGTTCAAGGCCAGCCTGGTCTAGAAGAGCTAGTGCCAGGACAGGAACCAAAAAAGCTACGGTGAAACCCTGTCTCGAAAAAAAACCCAAAAAAACAAAAAAACAATGTACAAACATCTAACCTCCGTTTATGCGGTACATTTCAAGACTCAGCTAATTAACTGTTTATGTTTTAGTCCTAAAATTGACATGTACGACAAGAACAACAATCAACCAAGTGCAGAGAGAATCTGCTTTATGTGGGAAAAATTTCCGAGACAGCCAGGGCCACAGGACGGTCTAGCCTCACAGCCTTGAATAATAAAGTTGTAGGCTTTCCGCCTTGGACTCTGGGGCTATGTATAGGATGAGAAAATATATTCTTAGGCTTGGGACACTTTAATGCCAGCCCTTGGCAAAGAGCACTGAACTGTCCAGCGCTCTTCGCCCCGCCGAGGCGTTGCCATGGTAAATGGCTCTGTACCCTATTGTTTACTGGAGGAATGCATTATGACCCTGAGAAACAGCTTCGTAACTTTTCCACTGCCTAAAGATTGTTGCAAAATGGGTATATAGGCTGTGTGAACAGATGATTAAAAAGAATCGGTATGAAAGAATTGAAACTAAAGGTTAGAAAGAATTAGAAGAAGAGAACCGGACCCGGAAAAGGATAGCAAAAAACAAACAGAGCATGACCCTCCTCAGATCATGTATGTCTGAGTCTTTCTCCCTCATTCAGATAGAAACTTGCTTCCTAAAGACACTCAGATGAAGGTTTCCTAAAATCCTTGCTGCTCTGAGGCCTTCTTTTGGCGACCCTGGGTGCAGTGTTGGGACCTGAACACCTGGGCTGCAGCAAATACATGTAGGCAAATGACCCAAACACACCAGATGAGATGAAATAATAATAAAAAACCAAATTACCCACACACACCAGACAGATGAAATAATAATAAACCAGAAGGAGGACAAGTAAATGACTTCGTGATACAACACCAAATTCGGGGAAAACAGGGAAAAAAAACCTAACCCGAACCACCCAGACAGCAAGAAATAAAAATCAGAGCAGAAATTAAGGAAACAGAACCAAGGAAAAAAATACAAAGAATCAACAAATCTATGAGCTGTTGTGTAAGAAGATAAGATCACCAGGCACTCGCCCAACTAATCGAAATAAAGGTCGGAATAGGGAACTAAGAGGAGATCATTCCAGCAGACACCAGGGAAACTCAGCACACTCGGAATACTGAAAACACCTGGACTCCATTACACCGTATAAACCTCGAAGATAGGAATGAATTACCAGCGTCAGCCAAACTACCAAATGCAACCTGGAATTCAATGACCTGCACGTCTTACGGACTGGCCTAACTGGGGTTAGGAGGAACAAAGGAAGCCACAAGTACAGAAAAGCTGGCATTGGGTGGCCATGCACTCTGATCCAGGCAGCCACTAGCACCAGCGTGCATGTTCAGTATATTTATTTCTCGCATCTGGTCCAAGGAGGCGGGTTTATTGTAGACAGCGAAATGAGGAGGTGGGTTTCTGTGTCAGCTGAACAGAAGGCAAGACTACTATCTACACCTGAGTAAGGAAGCAGGCATTTGATCCCAAGTGGTAGAAACACGTACAAAAGGGACTCAGTAGTGTGTGTGTGTGGTGGGTGTGTGCATGTGTGTGCGCACAATAAATAAAAGACATCATGAATTTGGGAGGGGCGGGGAGAATTTGGAAGAGGGGTAGAGGTGATGCACATGCAGTGCTCACGTGCATAGTCCTCAAAATATTAAATTAAAAACAAAAGCAAAAAACTGAATGTCACCACCAACAGCAGCAACAAATGGTAGAGAAAAGTGAGATCTGCCCCAAAGAGACATCACATGGGTGAGCGTTGCTGTCCCTTCTGGAGTAGAGCTCTCCCCACCTCGTCCATCTGCTCCCCGATAGGCAAGGGTCTTATCCCATGACCTCCACGTCATAGTCCAGGCTAACTGGCTTGTGAGATTCTAGGTAATTCTATCCCCACTTTCCCATCTCACTGTAGGAGCAGTGGGGACTCCAGCTGCACACCACCACAACCTGGCTTCGTACGTGGGTTGTGGGACCCAACCCCAGTCATAGAGCTTATCTAGAAGATGCATCTTAACTTGCTAAGCCCAGGATCGTGGGTCTTATTTGAGCCCTCTGCATCAATATCCTCCTGGGCCAGAGGTGGGTACCAATGCGGTTACCAAGCACTTCAGTCAGTCCCCAGCTTCTCTTTCCACCCAGGCACGCAAAGTTTCAAGCTTGGGTCTTAACCAATGCTGCTCGGATTATAAAGACCTAACTACCTCCTGGAGGCTTACCGTCAACACCGAAGCCTGGATTAGAAAGATCAGACATTCTTGAGGAAAATCCGGGTTTATGAAGCCCTGTAGAATCTTTTGATGAATATTTGCTAAAGATGCCATAGTTTTAGCCAGGCATTGGCAAAAAAAAAAAAAAAAAAAAAAAAAGGTGCGCTGACTCTCAGATTCCTCAAAGCTCCACAAACCACAGAAGGAAGTATCAAGTTTCTTAGAGGGGTCTTAGCAGAGCAACCTGCTAAAGGTGCTATTGCTTTAGATCATAGCCTTTTCTGGTTTGCGAAATGATTAATCAAGCAGTCTAAACAATACACAACCACACACCATTTAAAATTAAAAAAAAAAATCAAGTAATGATCCAGTGTCTTAGCCAACCCTGGGTTGGATCTTGGACAATATCTCAAGCTTATTCATATTGCACAATTAACAGGCAGTTGTCGCTGAAAAACTACCCTGAGCTGCGTGAATCAGGTGACTGACTGTCCTAGATGCAATACTTTATATAAAAAATAATGTTCGTGTTAAGAAAAGAGAGTATCCAGGGAGTATACAACAAATGCCTATATCAACACTTCAGAAGAAATGAACTTTAAAATGTTAACAGTTAACGCAGAGCTTAAAAGAAAATCCAAATATACATTGCACATCTACAGTTTTTCATTAATGTTAGATTTCCAAACCATGATCTCCTGTTCCTACGTGCTACCTTGAACTCCGTCTCTGCAGGGTTTCTTCTGTAATTAAACCGGTTATAATTACATGGAAAATTCAGAGCAGCTGGCTACTCAGCTGCACTGAAACAGCCTAATAAGATGCTCTAGACGGAATGACAGGAGAAGCAAAGGGACACTGATGTACCTATACTGAGTTATTATGACGCCTGGCAGTAAGAGACACCGGTCAAATGTACAGACGTACTTTGAAACCGAGCTCAAACATTGCTCTTCGTACTTATAGGCGTGACTGAACAACATATAGGCATAAGCCTTTTTATTCCTGTATCTGTCAGATATATTTCATTCTAAAGAATGGTTCTAACACAAAATAAGATGAAGATAAGGAAACCTTCTCCCCCCACACCCTGGGATCCCAGAAGCACTCTTTACAAACAGAGGTTTGGGCACATGCGGTCTGATGAAGAAGAGAAGAAACTGTAAGATGTCATTTCGACACAATTCAATCCGGGCAAAACCAAAGCAAGGAGCAAGAAAGAGAAAGCCTGGCTTTCAGAGGGGAGAAGTCTCAAGACCCTCTCTTATCTTCCTGCATTCCGATAGACATCACAATCAGTCACAGATTCACTTGGCAAAAATTCAACGCAGATATTTATAAAAACATTGATCATCAATGCTCAGAACTAAGCAAAAATCTGTCAAAAAGCTCTTATATATATAAATTCACATTTATATCAATGTCTCTACATACAGACACACATATATGTATATGTACATGCACACACATGTAAAGCTCACCTTGAAGTATTTGTCTATTTTGGATAAGTTGATTCTTTTCTTGGCATCGAGTTTGTAGATGTTACTGACACTCCCATCCATCAGGTACAGGCCAAATCCCATGACCTGAAAAGCCACAAAATGGTGCCATATAACACTTGGATCTATGAATTTACAGATGCACACTGCCAAGCTGCTAACTTTGAAATCACAAATCACTCTTCTTTTAATGGTGCTATGAAAGGGGCTAGCTATCCTTTGCACAGCCAAGAGAACTTAACACCCTAACCACTCAAAGGCCACTCGGTTGTTACCCAGCACACAGCAAGGGAGACAGAGTTTGTGGAGATGGGTATCCTTTTAAGGTTTCGTTGTGGTTAATGCCTGCTATTCCCAGTCTGGTGCTTTGAATGTATTTTTCCCCCCTTCTTCTTCCCTGAAATCAGTTACAAGGGATAATTTGATTTCCAGGCTAGATGCTAAAAGACAAAGCAGTGTTGACTAGCCTAACCTGAGTCCCAGGGATATTGTAGAATTGCACAATCCAATACACAGCCATGCCTAACTACAGAACTTAACTCTGTGCAAAACTAACAAATTCCATCCGGCAACAGCCGTGTGCATATCCCCAGTATGCCCTGGGGACATGACTAGAGCTCCCTCATCAGCCAGCACAGTCACAGTCATGACGTTTCTACTGTCACAGCCGTCCCCATCACCTCGGGGGAACTTTCCTGACAAGAATGTGTCACCAGCTGGGACAGCAGGTGTACTCAACAGACAGTGCCTCAGACCAAGTGTGTGTTGAGGCGACCAGCAGACCAAAGGACAAAGGATTTCATAGTCAAGAGACCTGATCCACACACAGAAGAGCTTCAGCATAAGGAAAAGCTGGCGAAGGATTCTAGACCAAGTACAGCCATGCTCTGTCCCCGAGAGAAAGGCTGCCACCCCACCCTCCCACACCCACCCACGCACTTTGAGAAGCATGTGCTTTTCACTGGGTGTCAAGTACATTCTGTTCTCGTAGTAATCCACACAGAGATTCACGATGTCCGCCAGGAGCTCTTCATAGCCAGAGATGACCTCAAGCTGCTGCTGCAGAGACTGAAACACAAGGGGACACAGAAAGCTACCGCCGGCTCCAGCCGCAGCGGCAACACGGGCCGTCGGCGGCGCACGCGGAGAATACATCCTTACTTGTGTGATCTTGTTGTGGTTGGCCAGGAACATGGACAAGTTCTGGGACTCCTGGATGGACTGTGGATCTGCCATTTTACGTAAAAACTGAGCAGCCCTAGAAAGAAAAGTCAATTCTAAAACATATCCACAAATCGATTTAAAGGTGAGGGGTTTGGGGGAGGGGGCAAGGAGGGGGACCAGGAGTCCTCTCCTCTACCTGAAGTTATTTGTATTTACAGAAATATGTTGCAGACACTCATTATGGTTTCAGACTCCTGAAGCATCTCTGACCTTGACTCTAGGGCAGTGGCTCAAAACCTGTGGGTCATGACCTCCTTGGGGGTCAAACAACCCTTTCAAGGGGAGGAGTTGCACATCAGATATTCTGTGTATCAGGTATTTGCACTATGATTTATAACAGTATCAACATGACAGTTATGAAGTAGCCATGACAATCGTTTTACAGCTGGGGGGGGGGTCATAACAACATGAGGATCTGTATTAAGGGGTTGCATCATAGGAAGGTTAAGAACCACTGCTCTGGGGAAACCTTTAGTCAACTTAGACGTATCTTATACAGCTTTTGTGCTTACTGTCCACAGGTATCTCTACTCTGGTGTCTGCTATACACAGGTAAATGCCCTCCTTTGTTTATGGGTCAAAGGACCCCTAGCCTCCCTGTCAGAGGCAAGTCTCCGCATATTCTGACTCCAAAACGCTCTGAAACGCATTATTAAAGATCTTTCTAGAAACCATCTCTGGGCCGCCACGAAGTGCCGTCTCAGCCCCCCAGCGCGGTAACAGCGCAGAGTCCTTGAACTGCCATCTATTCAGCTGCACAGTGTGCAGGAGACCAAAGGGCTGTACAGGAAAGTCCCTGAAGGCACACGGTGAGTCTATGTAGGGAAAGAGCAAGGAGCCTTTCCATGTAACAGACCTGCCAACAGGGCCTCCCTACGCGACTCAGAATCTTAAATATTTAAGTTTACACAAGGAAGGGTCATATCCATACTGAATTCACTTCCTTCCTTCCTCACGGACGGTCTGAAATGATAATGTGTCTCCCTAGCTGCTGGCTGTGGCCATGTAACAGAGAGCAGGCCGTGAGATACGATGCAAGGGACTGTCAGGAACTTGAACGTGTACTGCTAAGAAAGAGTACAATATTTTAAATATTTCTTTGAAAGATTTTATTATTATGTATACAGTATTCTGTCTGCATGTCTGGCTGCTGGCCAGAAGAAAACACCAGATCTCATTACAGATGGTTGTGAGCCACCCTATGGTTGCTGGGAATTGAACTCAGGACCTCTGGGAGAGAAGTCAGTGCTCTTAACCTCTACGCCACCTCTCCAGCCCAAGGTTTATATTCTCCTTCCTCCCTGTCCACCCTAATGTAAACAGTGGGCAGAACTCAAGCAGCCACGCTGTACTCTGAGCAACACGTGATGAATGCAGAACAGCCTCACTCCCTAATTAAAATATAAAAAATTTAAAAATTAATAAGACAGTTTGAGCTGTGCGGTGGTGGCGCACATCTTTAATCCCAGCATTCGGGAGGCAGAGGCAGGCTGATCTCTGTGAGTTCAAGGCGAGACTGGTCTACAGAGGGAGTTCCAAGGCAGCCAGGGCTACATAGAGAATCCGTCTCAAAAATACAAAACAAGACAAAAACAAACAAACAAACAAAACTTGTATGCAGTTTAAACAATAATAATAAATATGATAATAAATCATATCTTTCAATATGTTCATCTTATTGATTCCAATTGATGCTAGGGTAGGATCTAAGGCAACCAAGGAAGGAATCAATTAAGGGCACTGTTTCTATTACAGTCAAGACTCATCACAATCGTGTGGGTCATTTTTTCCATTTTACTTAGAATATGAACCAAAAGCTACCATCTGGACACAAAAGAAACGGGGGTCAATGAGAGAGAGAGAGAGAGAGAGAGAGAGAGAGAGAGAGAGAGAGAGAGAGAGAGAGAAACAGACAGACAGACAGAGACAGAGAGAACGAGCATAGAATAAAGGGTAGTCCACTTGTTCATCTTATTGTCAACTACACCTGGAATCAGGTAACACCCAAGCAGCTGGGCATGCTCGTGGAGGATTTTCTTGACTGATCATTTGCCGTGGGAAGACCTAGCCTAAACCTGGATGGTTTAAGGTCGGAAGACCTAACCCTAAATCTAGACTTGGCACATTTCGTCATAGCAACAACAACAAAACTTGTGTAGCACACTCCTGCTGGCCTCTCTATAGATTGTAGGCTGCTGTTCTTAAAAACAGAAAGTCAGCACAGGGAAGAGCTGTCCAGAGGACCTGAAATGCAGTATGACCCTAGGATACCTCCCATGGGCCAACTTTGTACAACGTCACGTCTGCAATGACGTGCAAGGGACGGCGAGGGGATGGAAACCCTGAGGACTGCAGCTAAGTATCCTTGGATGAAAAACACACTTTCCCTAGGATGAGATGCTCCCTGGGCCAATCCCTATGCACCGTGAACAGGGATAGATGTACATATTTATTGTCTCATGGTTACTAAGCACTCGGATTTTCCCATAAACACCTGAGGCTCAACAGAAAGCACCAGGCTGCTCAAGATGTATAAAACTACCAGAGACGACAGCTAAAGCCGTCGGCAACTCCTGCATCTTACTCTGGGTAGCACGAACTCACAAGCTCAAGACTGCTAAGTAGCTGCTCTCAACACAAGGGATGATTTTAGCACCCAGGAGACAGGCGTCTGTTACTTGCAAGGCTGAGATGGGACCTCTCTGGGACCCCACCACACGCTGCAGGCCTGAGCTCACCTCTTATACGCAGAGTGGTCATTCTTCACGCTGCACTTCATGTTCTTCAGCTCGTCCAGCACGGCAAACATGTTGATGAATTTGCCCAAAGTGATCAAGTAGGCTTCGGACACAAAGTCCTTCCTCCTCTCTGCGTGACACAGGCGTCTCACTTCCCCACAGAAACGCTCGATGGCATTTCTCTGAGCACAGAAAGGGAAAGGCAGAAGACCCCTCTCAGCCGCTGATGGGATCTCCACTGGCGCTCCAAGGACGGGCCCTCACTTACTGTTCCTCACTAAGCTCTAGATCACCTTCCCTCTCACAGACAGACCCTTATCTGAGCAACGTCCAGACCTTTGCTCTGTAGAAATCATTATTTATTTCACAGTTCAGCAGCTGCGGCTCTCACTAAAGTAAAAGAATTTGGCTGATTGTTCTGGTAAGACTACTAGGGCGGATCCCGCTGACTGAACCTGACGGAACCTAGAATCACCTGGAAGATGGGTTTCCAAGCATGCCTATGGGGAAACTGATGGATCACCTTGATTATACAGAGATAGAAAGACCCATACACACCCCTGTGGGCGATGCCATTGCCTGGCTGAGGTCCTGGGCTGCAGAAGTGGAGAAAGAAACCGGGACACAGAATGAATTCTTATCTCTCTCTGTGTCATAATAATGGAAGCGGCGTGACCAAGTGGTTACAAAGCTTCTACTGTCTGGAAGTCCCTGCTATGATGGACGGAACCCTCGAACATTGGGCTAAAATAAATCCTTTCTCCATTAAACTGGTTCACTGGGATATTTTGTTTGAGCAACAAGAAAAGAACTACAGTCCCTGAGGAAAATGCTCCAATAAGCATCTATGATACTGACGTTGACAGGTGAAAAGCAGAGTGGATTTTCTTTTTGCTAAGTGAAAAAGATTAAGTAAAAATTCAAAGAAAACTACAGTTGAAAAATTGTAGCTGGTGTGTGGTGGCACACACCTTTAATCCCAGCACTTGGGAGGCAGAGGCAGGACAATCTACGTGAGTTCAAGGCCAGCCTGGTCTGTGGAGAAAGTTTCAGGACAGCCAAGGCTACAAAGAGAAACTCTGTCTTGGAGGAAAAAAAAATGCATGGGGGGGTTGCTGGAGAAATGGCTCAGTAGTTGGGAACACTGACTGCTTGCTCTTCCAGAGGCCCAGGGTTCAATTCCCAGCAACCACATAGCAGTCCCCAACTGTTTGTAACTCCAGTTCCAAGGCCAACACCCCTAAAGACATACAAGTAGGCAAAACACATAAAAATGCACATAAGATAAAAACACATTAAAAAAATCGTTTAGACATTTCCAATGGGCCACTTTAGAGTCAGCAAGTCTCTTCCATGTGGCAACCCCCCCCACCCCCGTAACTGAGGGGTCAAAGGAGGTCCAGGTAGGAAGTACCAGAAAGGCAAAAAAAAAAAAAAAAAAAAAAAAAAAAAAAAGGTTGGAAAAACTAGATATACACTGTACTTGGAAGTGACGAAAGCAAGCTTTGTGCAGGGTAAAATTTCACCCTAAGGAGAGGTGGAGACACAAAAGAAGAATTTTCTCAGAAGAGTGTTGAAGCCCTAGTCCTCTGTCTAATGTGGTTTGTTCTACTTTAGATTACACTGTCCCTATCCTTAGTATTAAACCCCTCTACTGGCCGGGCGGTGGTGGCGCACACCTTTAATCCCAGCACTTGGGAGGCAGAGACAGGCGGATCTCTGTGAGTTCGAGACCAGCCTGGTCTACAAGAGCTAGTTCTAGGACAGGCTCCAAAACCACAGAGAAACCCTGTCTCGAAAAACCAAAAAACAAACAAACAAACAAAAACAAAACAAAAACAAAAAAAAAAAAACTCCTCTACTTATTTTAGTGTTTTACCTGGAAGTACATAAAATTCATCAGTTTTGTGACCTCTGGTTCAAGGACTTCCACCGTCTTCTCATAAATCTCAACTCTATTAGGCTGTTCGTTGCACTTCACCTAAGCGCCAAGAGACAAAAGCAAAGTCGCAGAACTGCACGAGGGGGCGGGGCCTCGCAGGGCTGGGGTCGGGAATGGCCGGGAAGGGCGAGGCACCTGAGGGATGGCTCGAGAGCAGCTCCTCCAGGTGTAGAGCATGACAGCATACTCCTGGCCTTCCTCCAGCATCTCGTTCTGCAAAACACGCGGGACGACGCACGTGTAAGTAGGGGATGAACACACAAGGAGACGCGAACGGCTGATGGCTCCGCCCACCCCTTGCAAGAGATACACTGTGCACGGCAGACAACCACAACAGCCCCACCAAATATCCCTACAGCTTCAGCAGGCTGCAAAGGGCTCTGGATGACAACGTAAGCCACTTCTGAGGAGAGCCATCACAGAGGCGCATCCAACCCCAGGCAGCCCTCAATAACGGCCTGGAAGGTAGAGCTGAAGTTAGGGCAAGAATCCCTGATAGCAGCAGCCTCACAGTTTCTTTTCCAGGTCACACCAAGCTTCCAGGCTTAGGCAGGATCCAAAAAGCAGAGCTGCTAGCCCGGGATACATGGGAGGAAAGACAGACTACTTCACACAGCACAAAGATCCAGGGACGGTACCCACGGGAAGAGAGCTATCATCATCTTATTTTTAAAGAATTCTACTTATTTATTAAGTGTACAGTGTTCTGCCTGCATGTACACATGCAGGCCAGAAGAGGGCACTAGATCTCATTACAGATGGTTGTGAGCCACCATGTGGTTGCTGGGAATTGAACTCAGGACCTCTAGGAGAGCAGCCAGTGCTCTTAAACCACTGAGCCATCTCTCCAGCCCCAAGCTACCATCATTTTTAATAACAGCTTTGGTGTGCGGTCCCATTACTTCCTGATAATTTGCTATGGTGAAAAGGTAAAAACCCATAAATCTTCTTTAAAATGTGACTAGAATTCTGGCAATGACTTAAAAGGCATCAAAAGAACTTGCTTTTCCCAGCCTGGTCTGCAGAGGGAGCTCCAGGGCAGTCAGGCCTACACAGAGAAACCCTGACTCAAACAAACAAACAAACAAACAAGCAAACAAAAATACAACCTTTCATCTTATAACATCATTCCTACAAATATTTAGGAAGATGTTCATCACAGCATTCTTTATTACACAACAGGGGAAACTGAGTAAATGTACACAAAGAGTTAACGGAGGACATTTACAGAACGGGCTATTACAGACATTGAAGGCATTTTTCTCTGGTGCATTTCATGAGATAAAAATGTTCACAAGATCATTAAAATACATAATTACAATGACAGGATTCATTTAGAAAACCCAAGTCTCATATGAGTGTACACCTGACACACGAAAGTCCAGGCATGGAGAAATGGAGAGAGAAAGAGCACCAACCAAGGGAACCCTTGCAATGCTGGCAAAGACTTTCTCTGGGCTGGGCTGAAGAGGTGGCTCAGAGGTTAAGAGCACTGGCTGCTCTTCCAGAGGTCGTGAGTTCAATTCCCAACAACCACATGGTGGATCCCAACCATCTATAATGAGAAATGGTGCCGTCTTCTGGTTTGCAGGCATACATGCAGGCAGAACACGATAAATAAATCTTTATAAAAAACAAAACTATAGACTGTTTTTTTTATAATAAAAGCAAGAACTTTCTTAAGACTGTAAGACATTTCCATCTCTTTTCCTCTACCTGGTCTATCAGGAAAACATGTAATTCATTTGTTGCTTAAACGTGACACCTGCTAGACAGAAACAGAGAAATGGACAACATTACCATGCTAGAGTGGACAGTCGCTTGTTCAATGTATCTTGCAATGCCCGTGACAAATGCATTTCTGTCTTCAAAGTTGGTGTTGAAGTTGGGCTGCAGGGGAGGGAAGCAGAACAAAGTCGTCAGGCTGAGGTCAGAGCGGCCAGCCGTGTTCCGTCTTCTCAGAACGGAACCTACCTGATAGAGCAGGGAGGAAGGTGGAGGCTCGATGCAGGGCTGCTGGTCAGGCAGAGGCAGCTCCTCCAGGAGGTCCACGTTGGACAGCGCATCTTCTAGTGTCACTTGGGCAGCCATACTGTAATAGAACAAAGTACAGAGCCGGCTGTGAGGGAAGATGCAGTCCGGAATATACAGCAGGCCTTCTGATGGGACTTAGGTGGCTTCTAGTTTCCCCTCACCCCCTTCTTGCAAGGGCACTGGAGACACCCACAGGATGGGGGCATAGGAACTGCAAGTCCATGAGAGTCCTTTCCTTCCTCCAGGCTTATTGGGAAAGCTCTCCTGACCTCTATAGAGTATCCTGTGGCAGAAAGTACCGGTTCCTACGGTTCCTACCACACTTGCCGTCTCCCTTTACCCTTTCCACATTGTCGCTCCTATCCTAGCTGCTGGTGCTTAGGGCCCCACAGAGGGTGTGTTAACCCCTCACATGGCGGGAAGAGGGCAGCATCTCCTGCACAGTTATTCCAAATATGTGAGGATGAGAGGACTGCCCTTGGCCACCAGCAGTGTAGCTACAACCGGCTGGAATCGCAGGGACTGTACTAGAGCAATGGTGTGCTCGAGAGAAAAGCATCAACCCCAAAGCTGGAACAGAGAGGCAGAGAAGTGCAGGCATAAAACACACATCCACACCAGCTACAAGACGCAGAGGCAGCACACAGCTGTCTCCCATCGAATGGCTTCTGACCCTAGCAAGATGGGTGGTGGGGTAGAAAGACAGTCCACCATCCTGGAGGGGAGACAGGAAGACTTGGGATTGTGTCCCTATTAGAGCCACAGGACGGGTTATGTTCTAAGAAGGAAGTGACAGCAAACAAGGCCAAGGAAGAACTCAAAGGAAGCCTCTGAACAAAATGGCAGCAAGGAAAATAAAGACCCACAGACCATAGCATGCTGCCTGTGAGCCTTCTCAAGGGTCAGAGTTCTATCCCAAGATGAAAAACTGGAAACAGAAGTTCCAGAGACCCAGCAAGTCCCAAGCCCTGGTGGTGAGGGAGAGTCCACAAAGCTGCACCCAGTTTCCGTTCGAGTTATTCGGAACATAAAAAGCTAATTGCTAACCCAGATTGCTAACAGTAGACTGCTGTGACCTGAGCCCGCAGAGTTCCGGCCCATACTTTGTGACCTAGGCCTTAGATCATGAACTAACAAACCTTGACCATCCAGGACCGCTCTTAGGCGAACAGCCCCAATTGGCATGACTGGGAACTGTGTGCACAGTGGCCAAGCCTGACCCCTCAGAGCTGTGCGTAGACAAAAGTGGAGTTTACTCCTTCACACGGTACAAATCACACGGCAGGGAACGGCACACAAAGAAACTCAGTATAACCGTACTAAGTGTTACCCCCAAGCGAAGAGCACCCCAGCCTTCACCACAACCAGCACTCCAGCCACTCAGCAGCCAGCTGCCATCGTCCAGTATGCTCGCTACACTACGGTTACCAATTCTGTCTGAAGATAATTGATTCGCTGCCTACCGATCCTCTCTGTTACTCTAGGGCCTGATAGCCACTCAGTCTACTATAATATCGGGTCTATATAAACGGCAGTTATATAAATTGTGGTATGTACTTATTTATATTGGTGCCGAAGATCAAACGTAGGGTCTGCATATGGTTAAGTCATATATTAGCAATAAGCAGTAGCCCATATAAATATGCAGTATTTATGGGATTATATAAGCTATATAAAATAACTGTAACATTCAGGGAGTGTTAGATAATCAAACACACAGGCTTGACACAATTAAAGATGGACCCCATCGATCCACTGTCGATAATTAAGGTAATTAAGGTTTTAGGTATTCAAAAACCATACTTGAAAACCAAACCAAAGTCAATGAGGATCTATAGGCTAAAAAGGATAGTCAAAGGGCTGGAGAGATGGCTCAGAGGTTAAGAGCACTGGCTGCTCTTCCAGAGGTACTGAGTTCAACTCCCAGCAACTCTATGGTGGCTCACAACCATCTACAATGAGATATGGTGTCCTCTTCTTTCCGGCATGTAGGGATACACAGAATAAACAAATCTTTTTTTGTTTTTTCGAGACAGGGTTTGTCTGGGTAGCCTTGGAGCCTGTCCTGGAACTCACGGGCTAAGGTCCTTATAAAACCCTTCTTCAGACCTTCTCTGCTAAGGCTGCCCATTTTCCCAAGTTGTACAACCCTTCCTCCGGTCTATCTCGTCTTTGGGCAATAGCTGTTTTCTTTAACAGCGTGTTTATATACATCCATACGCCGACTCTAACCTAAAAGCCTTTCTTCATCTCCCTCTCCCTGTCAACTGCCGAGATTTACAGCTTGCCTGCCCTGTTGCTCTTTCGCTGGAATAAAATGGTTCTCAAGTGTCCTTCTCAGTCTACTTTTCAATTCTTTTAGTGAGATTAAGAAGACACAAAAGGGAACTCTAACAGGGGAAAAGCAAGACTATATGGTGGTAAGATTTCCATATTCTGTGAGAGTAGGAAAAAATGCTAGCTCTAACAGTCTACAAAGAGTTCACAGGCATGCACTTGGTAGTTTTTACAACCACTAAAAGAAGACTAATCAGTGTGAAAAACTATCAGACTTGTGATTTCGCTTGGTGGTAGACTGTTTCCCTTAAATGCACAATGCACAAAGTCCTGGGCTTACCACCCAGCCAACATCACCACTGTCACCAACCCAAAAGAGACAGTGGGGGAGAGCGGAAATAACTATCCAATATGCACAATTTGGGATAAATTAAAGTGGAATACTACAAAATGTTCAAAGTCTAACAGGAGGCAGAAACAGGCCGACAGTGTAGCTTAGTACACTTAAAGCCCTGAGCTCAACTCAGCACCAAAACAAACTAAGCAACCACACAAAGCCGAGAGAGTAAAGAATCAAAGAACGAAAGAGAGGATGTAGCCAGATGTGGTGGGGCACACTTTTAATCCCATCATGCGAGAGGCACAGGGAGGTGGATCTCTGAGAGTGTGAGGTCAGCCTGGTCTCCCTAGTGAAGAACCAAGCCTGTGAAGGCTACCTAGAGAGACCCTGACATCATCCTCATCCACACCCATCTCCACCATCACAGTAACAACAACAAAGGCGAGATCTAAACCTAAACACATCAATAATTACGTAACTATAGATAATCTAAAAAAACTACAAACATGATTACACGGATCTGCTAAGTGAATGTAGAACCGGAAGAAGAAAACCAGTAAGAACTAGTCAAATGGAAGTGGGGTGGCTCTGGGCACTAGCCTTCAGAAAAGGACATTACTGCGGCTAAACGGTGACTCTGCATTATAAAGGAAGGAGCAATACCCCAACACTAGAATGATCCTAACTCTGTCTGCAGCTAGCCTACACATTTCAAACTCCACAGCAAAAATGGGCAGAAGAACTGGGAAGAGAACCCAGAAAATGAACAACTCCAAACCAGAGACTGACAGCGGGGCTGTTAGTAGCAGGCTGGGCAGCAGCCTGTCTCCCTGGCAACACACCAATATCAAGAAAGGAGTAAATATCACAACCACTCCTCCTTAGAGTTGGAAACAATATGCAAGAGCTCCCAGATGCCTGCCCCTCTTCAAAGCTGCAAGTGCCCTTCGAAAAGGCGGAGGCCCATCAAGGAAAAGCTGTCTCTTCCTGGCAAAGAATGCATATTTCGCAGACTTTTTTTTTCTTTTTAAAAATCTATTCTTACACGATTTGTTTTAAAGCCTATCAATGGCACACATCCGGATTAGCCCAGAAGCCCGATCTTTAATACCTACAGACCCTGACTGCTAAGCCTGCCTGAAGCAGAACTTTCTCTGTTCCCACAATCTCCCATCTAGGAACACTGGCCATATTACTCCAGTCTGCAGACTGCTCTGGGCATTCTCATGCTCTCTGAATGACTCTTCCTCCCCGCCCCGCGGCCCCGCCCACTCTGAGCCATCAAGTATGTGATCTCAGGTCTCCAGGGCTGAGCTTGTCTGCTTTCCTGACCTTACTTACTTCAGAAAGTATAGCTTGCTCTCGGGCTCTGATGAGTCCCCTCCTCCCAGCAGCTGCTGAGACCTCCACCTTGCTTGACCTGTCTATTTTCCCCTAACTCTTAGAAACTGTCTCTCTCGTGTCCTTCCGAGAGAGCCAGCTTCCTTCTTCCACAGTCTTTATACAGCAGAAAACGTGGCCCAGATTAAAGCTAAATCTTCCCTTCTCAAAGATCTGGATTAGAAGTGGGTCATACCACTTCAACTGATTTAATTAAGAAAAAACCCGTCATCGGTGTGCTCAGCTGCTTCGGTTTTAGTTCATCCCAGACGCAGTCAAGTTGACAAAAAAGAATTGTCATCACAACTCCACCCCTTGTCAGTCTGACAGACAATCACATCCCCTTACGTCATGCTTCATTTCCAAATGAAATCAGTAACCAGGTCATAATTATCCCTAACATGATATAACTATCCCTTGTACAACGGCAAACACTTTAGAAATCTAGAATAGGTAGCCATGTCCCTTGAGGGATATTTTTCTGTATCTCAAACTTAAATGATAGCCACTGATAGTCTCTTAACTGATGTTACATGATAAAGAAGTAGAGAAAAGAAAACACAAGTAACTGTACAAACACATTCTTAACAAAATACTCACGTCAATTATAATCCTCTTTCTAAAACCTGGTCACGTGGTCTTTTGCTGCGGTTTATAGTTCCCTTCCTTTACTACCCATTCTTTATTTCCTCCACTCTCGGCTGCTCTTGGCTCTTTTCCTGCAGAAACGACCCATAGTTTCACTCTTCAAGCGTCTGTGCCCACTGTCGCCCTGCCTGGATTAGGACGTTGGAGTTTCCCATTGACTATAATCACGGGACATGGTAGCGTCAAGAGATGACCTAAAGAATCCCCTGCATTCCAGACAGCATCTTTCTTAAAGTCATTGTGGAGAAGCAATCCAATTTCCCCTTGGTAATCCGGATCAATCCACCCCTCCGAATACCACTATTCCTTTCTTAGTCCGCTGGCCTGAAGGGCGTCAGAAGACCATTCCAGTTCAATGGGATGTTTGCTGTGGTTCCAGGCAGGAACACTCCCTCTTCTGGAAAGAAAACTTC